CATGGGCCTATTTGCCATTACCCCTATTTTTATTTGTGGCAAGTCTCCTAAGTGGGGTATTTTACCAAATTTGCAATTGCAGCCTTTTTTTTTTTCTTTCTTTCTTTCTTTCTTTCTTTCTTTCTTTTATTTATTTATTAAAATCTCCAACACTATCCTTTACCAAATAATTCTCTTGCAATTTCAATTTAAATAAGTTGATACAGCCAATTTACAGTTGAGTCAATTAAATTTAAATCCGGTGACTCAACTGAAATGGAGAAGGCGCGTGGAATGCTTGAAATTGTAGGGATGTTTGGTTTCATTTCCAAAACTCATTTCCAATTTTATACTATTCATAAAACTGATTTCATATTTGTTTGATAATTTTATCCAAAAAAAATCCCATTTTTTCTTCTCAAATTTCTATTGGAAATACACTATTCATATTTTTTTCAATTTTCAAACTTACTAACTAACCTATATATTTTATTCCACCAACTCATTTCTCTCTCCTTCTATTCATCACTTCTCATTAATATTTACACTCTTTCTCCTCTCATTTCTCTCTCCTCATTAATATCTACACTCTCTCTCCTCCCAATTTCTCTTTCTTCTACTAATAATAATAATAATAATAATAATCACTATCATCATCCTCAATCATTATATTCTACTTTTGCACCTACTTTCGTAGATAAAATTAACTACAACCAAACATATTTTCATTTCTACGCCTACATAAAACTAAAAATACCCCTTCATCCAAACATATTTCCATTTTCTAAACAAAAACCAATAATCTACTTTTTCCATTATAAATTTTGAAAACTAGAAATTTCCATTGGAAACATAACCAAATATCCCCGTAGTGTTTGAGAAAGCGAGAAACATTTAAGTGACAAAATTACGAGGGTATTTTCATTATTATATAAATAAATAAAAATTAAAGCCAAAAAAAAAAAATCAAACCAAAAGGGCAAAAGAGGAATTATTGACAAACCGAAAATATAAAGAAAAACCCCCAAAATCAGAGATACCTGAATGAATTGATTCATCTGCTGCAACAGAAAATCAATTTTGAGGCGCACCGCATAACAATGGCTACTAATAATTATTACCCCTCTTCTTACTATTGCAGCCTCCACCACAGTTTCGACCCCTCTTCTTCTCCTTCATCTTCCTCCGCCGCCGCCGCTCTATTCCGTCGCCCTCCTCCCAACAAGGTCTGATTTTTTTTTTTTTTTTTTTTTTTTTGTGATTATCGGATTTGTGAATATTTTTCTCCTTAGGTTCCTAGACTTTTGGGCAATTCGAGGAGGGTTGATCTGGTACGCCAGACCTCATGGCATCACCGTGGAATTCGTTTGCCTGGTGGTTCCCCTTCTCCAGGTGAGCTTCTTTAATGGTTTCTTCCATTTTTATGACTCTTCGATTTTTATAATCGAATTAATCGAAATTTTATGCTAATTTTTTATGCGATTATTTGAAAAATTTATTATATCTGGTCGAAAATCGAGGTGGGGAAGACATGTTGGGGCACTAGGTTTATTCTAGCCTTCTCGATTAGGCATTCGTGTCCGGTCATATAGTTGAAAATTCATTCCTTTTTGCATAATTCACAGTGAGAACTTTTCTTATGGGAAGAAATTGGTTGTTATACCTAAAATTACAGATTCGTTTGGTACTGTGTACTAATCGTGGAACTCGAATCGGCGATTAAATCGTCCATTCTATATTTGTGATGAGAATTTTATACGTTGGTTGTAAGCCTTCGTTGAAAAGTGCAGGCCGTCGAGGAATGAGTTTCTATTAGTAATTCGTAAACTAGGATTAGTGATTTTTGGAAACTCTAATCAGTCTGATAAACGATGTATGACTAACATTTTATAAGTTGTAATACCGTGTGCAGGTATAAAGGCGGTTACTGTGCCTGATCCAGCTTTGGAGTTCCCTCTCACAGAAGAAAATATAGAGTGTGTGTTGGATGAAATTCGCCCTTATCTCATAGCAGATGGGGGCAATGTTGCACTGCACGAGATAGACGGAAATGTGGTTAAGTTGAAATTACAAGGAGCGTGTGGCTCCTGCCCTAGTTCTGTCACAACGATGAAAATGGGAATTGAGCGCCGTCTGATGGAGAAATTCCCTCAAGTTGTTGCCGTCGAGTCAATACCAGATGAAGAAACTGGCCTTGAGCTAAATGAAGAAAACATCGAAAAGGTAAATATTTCTTTTCAACTCTACTTAATATTCTTTGTTTATAGTGTTCTGAAGTTCACATAATATATTCTATGTTACAGAATATAGCATCCAGATTCTTGTGCTATGTGTTTTAACCTTTTTCTTTTGGGGTCTCCAAGAAATTGGCATGATAACAGTTTTTCGTCGGAAGTGACAGAATTTAATCGATTACCATTTCAACGAGCTGCATACTGGTCACAATCTAGCTATCTTTTTTTCTGATCAGGAAATAGAATTGGATAAGTAGTCATTTTGGACAACCCTGCAAAACATTTTGCAGCCTAAGTACCGCTAGTATCCCAATGATCATTTTCGTATTGGCATGGCCATTGATGCTTCTAGAACACCTTTTGTAACCCATCCCCAGCACTGCCACCGCAGCTACAGGATTAAATGTGAACTCAAACATTCTAGATTGCAAACCTTTTCATCTTAAGATCTCATGAGTTTGTTTAAAAGAATACTTCTCTTACTACATCCATTGTAAGTACGTTGATTGTTATCTGCAAATGGACTCTCTAGCGGAGACTTGGTTTCGTAATGTATACCATCTGGTAAACGAAACCTAAAATTCTTATTACTTGCTTGCACTACTGGAGTCTGGACTCTGGATCATAGTTCATTCGTGCACCAAGTCAAGAAACATTCTAAAATAATGTATCAAAATTTATTTGTTGTCCTATCAGTGCTAAATAGAACTTTCACATTTATTATGTGTGAGAAGTTAGGAAGTGTGTTGGTAAATTCTCCCTATAAGATAACTTTCTGCAATGCCTTGGGGAACAAACTTTGCTTATTGGTCTTTCTCCAGGCAGATAGGAGTAAATTAGGTATGTTTGTAATCCTTGGGCCTTTTTCTGGTTAATAGGAGTAGGTTTGGTGATATAATGCTGGTACAATTAGTTTTAGAATTTGGTACAGGGGATTTCGATGTCGTTATCATCATGTTTAAATACTATTGTCTGCAAAAAGTCTACACGTTTTACCTTTAGGAATATGTGATGTGGCACTATTGCTGGAAAATGCTGGGCTCGAGCATGTGATTGGGATTATCTTCATTCTTCGACCACAAAACTGGCAAGGTTTATTTTTTTTCTTCTTAACTTCTGAATCTTGATGAAAAATCCCAACGCAGCGCAAAGTGTAGATAGGAATTCTCGAGGTATGTGTAGGAAATTGTCACCAAGTTATAATAAATATTCCAAGTAGCACCTCTGTCTCTTCACATCTTTTTTTTTTTAATTAACATGCATGAGCAGCATCAAGTATGACAACATTTATGTTGAACATGTCTCTCTTTTACTTTAATGCCGTAATTTTTGCTCATTTATGGGCCTATGACTAAACCTGACAATTTGAACTTCCTTAGGTACTCGAAGAAATAAGACCTTACCTTGTTGGAGCTGCTGGTGGAGATTTAGAGCTAGTAGCAATCGATGAACCAATAGTTAAAGTGCGATTAAGTGGTCCTGCAGCTGGTGTAATGACTGTTCGAGTGGCTGTGACTCAGAAACTCCGAGAAAAAATTCCATCAATCGCAGCGGTACAGCTTTTGTCATAAAATATCAATCAAATATCTCGTAATCTATTAAAAAGAAAAGGAAAAAAAGATCTCTTAATGTCAAGTATAGGCTTTTAATTGTATACTTCTTGAAGCAACAGGTTGCTAGAAGGATACAAGAAGTATACTTACGTTTGATGTATCCACTTCTATATATAACTCGATGCAGTGTACATATTTGTGTGAGCCTCATTCTTTCATGTTGTTTCAATGTGTTTTTCGTTTCGGGAACTATTCCTATTTTTCCGTTCCAATATATTCAGACAGCTTGATGGGACGTCTGGATGGTGAGTTCAAGTCAATTTGAAGTGTATGTTGTACACAGATCTAACATTCATCTACATCAATATCGACGTGCATTTTTTGTGAATGGTGATGATATATTCAATGCACTTACTGAGTGCAAAATTGATTTGACTTGAATACGGTATAACTCAAACGGTAAACAGAGGTAACATCGTATACAGTATAACTCAAAACAACATGGCTCGATGTTTACATGAAAGCAACGCAAAATTGATAAGAACCGAATAAAAAATAAAAAAATTCAGCTAGTAGATCCTACATGCGTACAAGTGCTTATATTCTATGACACCGACTTTAAATGAAGGAGAAGCGTCTCGAATTCTTAATGTCTATCTTCTGCAAGTAATGGCTGCTAGTATAGAAGAAAACTGCTATTGTACGTTGTGGACATATAAATATTCAATAATCGAGATTTAGTGACAATAGAGCTTGATCAAAGAATCGGAACCCGCAGTGAACAACCAAGGTTGCCTTGGATGGAACTTGCAGTCCATAACTCCTGCAAAAATCAACCACCACAAAACAAGATTGCAGTAGATAAATACCAATAATCCAAATTCAGAAAAAATGACGAATACTCAATCAAACACAGAAAACTGTATATCTTCAAAAGGCAAAGAATTAAAATAAATAAATAAATAAACAAGAAGTTACCTCTTCCATCACCAGTGGAATGCCCTCGAAGAATCTGAAGAGGAACGATCAGTGGGTTTTCATTGAGATCGGAATAAACCATGCCATGGAAAACATATGCTGTGTTATCATCAGAGCATGACGCAAATAGTGGGTAAGTGCGGTGATAGGCAACTGCAGTAAGATCCTTCTTATGAGCCCTGCAAATTCAAGCAGACACACATAATATTTAGAGAAGCCAACCGCCTAATTTGGGATTTTATTTTTCATAATTAAGAAAAAAATACGGCAAAAGCACTACTAGATCACAGCACTAGTGGGAATAAGTGATGAAAGGTCCATAAGTTATTTTATTTTATTGCTATCACATACCTGAGGACTTTGTAAGGTTTAGACGAAAGGTCCATATCAAACCAGCATAGCTTACCATCTCTACTTCCAACAATGGCATTATCACCTGCAACAACATTGGACTCAACACATTTGTAGCTTCACGCGCGTGTGTGTGTGTGTGTGTGTGAGAGAGAGAGAGAGAGAGAGAGAGGTATATACCACCAGGGTGGATTGCTATGGAAGAGATTTCACGGACTCCAGCATCAAGCTTTTTAATGCGCTTTTGTTTTATCAAATCGTATACCCGAACATCCTTCTTTGTTGCAGTAAAGAATATGGATCTAGTGGGATGAAAGGAAGTCGCAACAGGAATTCCCTTAGTCTTGAACGGAATTCGTTGAGTCTGTTTCTTGGAGAGCTGGTGAATTAACACCGATCTTGATTCACGTACAAAATCAGTTAAGAAAATGACAAGGTTCGGACAGATATATAATCACCAAGTAAGCAGAGTAAACATAGATTTCATATGCACTATATAATGCACATAACTACTATGCATATAAATAGTACAGCATAGTGTGCTATTAATCGATTCATGGCCAAGAAAAGGATATCAGATGGCATTAGCGTCGAAAGATAGTCTCCATTACGATGCCATTCCACCTTAGTCACAGACTGCAATTCAACAGCAACAACCCCTTTAAAATTCAATGACGAATCACAAAATACACAGCAGATTCAAATTAAAAACAACAAAAATTACCTTAAAATGCTTCAACCTGATTCCTCCATGCTTCTCATCTTGACCCCAGGTGACAACGTTTGCAGTCGAATCTGAAGAAACGGTTGTAGGTAAGTTGTAAGCGGTACTACGCCTAGTTAAAGAGACAACTATTTCGTATTCATACTAACCGGAATCATCCTCCACCTTTTGGGGTTCAACATGGAGAATCTCTTCAATGGTTTTTTGTTGTTCATCACTTCCACATTTGGTGTTCAAAATGAACACATCGTGGCCCCTGTAAATTATGGTGGAACTTAATACTTACTGATATAAACCAACATCGACTTTCGATATGAGAAACTAAGGCGTGACATATTTCTTACACAGCTACTGCTAACATCGGAACCTCTGGCTTAGGATTCCATGAAACTTGCTCTACAGGTTCACCTAGATCCCAGATCTGTACGCATCTTCCAGTTTCAATTTCCCAAATGCGAACAGTTCCATCCTTAGAACCTTCATAAAATAAAAAATAAAAATAAATAAATAAATAAAGTTAACTCCCATTCGACATCATTAATTTCCTAACATTGAAAAAATGAAGAACGAACCAGAAGCAAGCCATTGCCCAGTGGATTCTACAGAAATGGTTATAACTGGACCCTTGTGGCCTTTGTACTCGAGATAACAAGTTGATGGATAGGGTTTAAGATCTCTGCGACTGGGTAGCTTCGGTTTCAATGACTCGGGATCAATATTAATCTGGAAATGAAACAGGCAACATTTTGCTATAAGTTGTAGATTTTTACAGTCAAAATATTAATTAGCAGGCAAAATGTAAATTTGGTTTGAAGCATGCAGATGAGTCATTCTTCTTTATACTTACACGTTTTTTGTGAACTCTTGGGCATAAGTAGAGATCCAAATGACGGTCAAAAAGTTCTTGGACAGATTTGTCATACGCAGGAACACTTCTCATGTTCGCAAACCTAAATTTCACATTAAAGGTCATCGATTTTCAAAATCCTAACATGAAGCAATAAGGAAAAGTAAAAGAACACTATTTGGAGAAAATGGACTGGCAGTTACTGTTTCGGAATAAATTTAGGTCGATCTTCCTCAAAGAGCAGCTGGTAAGCGTTTATTTCTTCTTGTGTTGGGATGTACTCTGCAGAAGGGTTGTATGATTCATCATGACCTGAAAAAAAAATCCTTAACATCAGAACCGAAGACAATCCTACCAAATTATGGGAAATTTTTTTTTGGCATAAATCGAGTAAACTAGTGATGTTGAGCAAGTGTAGATGCACACCTGGCAATTTAGCCTTTGGTGCAGGAATATATGCCAATCCTTGTCTTTCAGCAGAGGTGGAGTCATCCCATAAGTCGAAAAATCGAGGCTTTTCCTTTGGTTTTTCATCAAACTTAATCAGCCCCTTTCTTATGGCCCGGACAAGCCGAAGAACCTGTGTTTAGAGCATATGAAGAATCACTACAGTTATTGGAAGTGCAGCTGATAGCAACCTCGAAATATATTAATTTCACATTATTCTCTATAAAACAATAGTAGACCATGTCAACCTTCATCTAGAAAGCATCAACCCTTGCATGCACAGAAAGAAAATGAAAGATATAGAAAGAGCTAGCAAACCCTAGTTAATGGGGATATAAACAACCAAGTACCGTAAGCATCTTTGAGAACTTATTATTCTAATCTTCTGTCTGCACATAGTAACATCTAATCTTCTATTTGCACAGATTATCAAAGATGGCTACGTATATCATATACAAATATTTGAAACAACTACAATATATTCTCACATTGTGAACCTTAAAGGCCCAATATATTTGGTGGATTGTCAACCTTAAAGGCCCAACATACGATCATTATTCAGTTTGATAGGAGCTGTAATATTTTCGCTGGAAGGAAAAAAGGAACATGCTAAAAGTAACAGCATATGTAATGGTATTTCGTACTAAGCAAAGGCAACAAGTTTGAAGCTATCTACCGTTTTACTCTCCCACTTTGAAGGAATGAAACGTCTCTTTGGTTCAGGTGCATTTGAGAGGGGATGTTTAGCACCATCCCAAGCAAACCAATCAACATAAGGCTGCAGCAAAGATAAAGATTATAAGAGGTCCCTTCAAATAAACAAAGAGGGGCGCATAACATAAAAAGGTGAGATTTGTGAATCTAAAAGAAATAGTCCGGTGAGAAAAGGTTAAAATGAGGATAGTACGCACAGCATATGGATCAAAATCGGGATGTGGTGCCTTCCCTTTAAGCAGTCTGCCAATAAGTTTGGTTTCATCTTTGGTCAACTCCACTTCCTCATCATTATACTGATCGTATATCTTACGCCTGAAGATAGTAGAATAAAATTACAATCAATAATCAAGAAGCATATTATAGAGAAAGTAATACAGAGTTTGTCATACTAAGACGACTATTTAGATATAAACTCACCAACTCCTTGAGTCATCAACATTTGCAAGAAAAGAATCGAGTTTACTTTGCCTTTCCTTTTTCTTGATCTTCTTGCCAGCTAAATCATATCCAATATGTCCCTCATCCTTATACCATTCCAAAGGAACATCTCCAACAGTGTTACGAGGTGCAACCTGATTTTTTCCCCAAAAAGACATAAATCACAAACAACTCAGCAATAAACTCATAAAATAACACAGGTTTGAGCAAAAAAGATACGTAACTATAGGCAGATAGGGGGTAAACTAAACAGGAGGAAAAAATAGACCTCGTCTTCCGACGAATCACTTTCTTCAACAACTTCCCGGGAGTCATCGCTTTCACCATGGCTGTCTTCAGCATGATAATTATCATCATCTTCACCTTCGCTGACAAGATCTCCGTCATTATCACCATCATCACTATCACCTTCACTAGATTGAATTACATCCTGCTAGGATATAAATGAGATTTTTTTTTAAAACTAAACATCAAAGCAAGAGCTAAGTGGATCGTTTCCAGACTGACCAAGTATATAGATTATTGAGTATAGAGACAAATGCATATTTATGCTGATGCAACGATCATGGTATATGAGCTCCTCAGAACTAATTTCAAAAAATACATAAATTTGGAAAATCCCACCAAGAAATCACCTGTCAAACTCTTACATCACAAGGCAAATAGCATAAAACAAACTACATCCAATTCATGCTAAACTTTTCCTCAAACCAACTAGCATGAAAAATTACTCTTCTGCTATATCAATGTGAAATAATGAGTCTCGAACTTAAGTTTAAGACTAAACAAGGATACAAAAATTAACTCTGACAATATGAGGTTCAAACTAGACATTTCTATGTAGAAGCGGGTGAGTGCTAGTTCCTTGAGTCAAACTTGTCAGTGTTACAAGAAAGATAGATTGAAAGAAGAGATAGATATGTCGAACATCGGAGGAAGATAAGAGTGAGAGCAATACAGGCAGCAAGGAGAAACACAAAAGGGAACAAAGAGGAACAGAAGATAAAAGCAAGAGAGGAAACTAACACTCAGATATTACTTCTTGAACATATCCTTATGACTATTGAGTAAAAGAATTTGGGTATTTTTTTAATCAAGGATTTTATCTCTATCAATGTACCACCTATAGGCTCTTTGCCACAAACTTCTAACAGATCCTACATGCCACGACACAATTGATTATACCCACCAACATTCAATGAAGAGAGCACAAACTGAAGTAATAATAGCAATATCCAAAATATAAAGCTTGTAACAAACGATAAAAGATAATGTCTGTTTGCACATACATTTATCGAGTGTGTGAGTGAGCTAGTGAAACAAGAAGACATACTTCAGATGTGAGGACTCTTCACAAAAAGAAAAGGACAAATTCTCGAAGTCCGAACCAAAAAGAATGCCACGAAACTACAAGATAACTGGATGGATATATTTTTATTTTTTTTTGTATTCTAACTACCAGTTCACACTCTAGGAATTTAATCATAATAAAGATAACGATTAATACTTGCATTATAAAAAAAATATACAAATCAAAACAGAGAATTATCGTTACCTCGTCCTGTGAGAGTTTACTTTGCTCAGAGCCGGAATCACTTATTGAGCCATCGTCATCAGATAGAGCCTACAGAAACACAAAACCGAGATAAAATCAATTAATTCAGTTCCTATTTCTTCATGTTAATTAAAAAAAACTTATGGATGTATACTGGTTCATTATCGCCCAAGACCAGTTGGTTCACCAATTCTCGACTAAATACCCTGTGTCCTTCCCATAAATTGGACGACCCAAATAAAATTAAGAGTAAATGTTTAACAAAGGTTCGTTCTTTCATATATGAAAATGACAGATATACCTAAGAAATGATAATTCCCACAGACTAAATATCACAGAAAGCTTATCCCTTTGGTTACGAAACTTATCACCACATCAATATGTGAAAAGATTAACGGCGAACCCCACTAAAAAAATTAACGGCGAAAACGGAACCCTAAACCAGATTAAATCTTACATAACAGAAAAATCAATTAAGAGATTGCAAATTACCTCGTCACCAGTATCTTCTGACCCAGAAACAAAAGGGGAGTCTTCGGAGCTTTCAGTACCTGGCTCAGCTTCCTCAATTCTTTTCAGAGTTTCTTCCATGTTTTTCGCTACCAATTTTTGCAATTTTTTCCTGTCCTTTTCATTCTTCTTGGGCTTGTCGGAGCCGTTCTCTTTGAGCGGCTTCATACTGTGTGTTTTGAATGTGTGTTTGTGGTGCGAATGGAGGAGGGAAGGAGCGAAGCTTTGTGCTCTAGGTTTTAATGGAGGGTCTGGGGTTTTAGCTCTGCGATTTCTATTGGCTCTCGACAAAATCGCTATTCGAAAATGCGATTTCGGGATTTATTAAGAAAATATAATAAAAATGTTTGGGCAATTTCAATTTGTAATCGGGTTGAGCGGGCCCGATTAGTTATTTCCGGCCCATAAATTATTTATATTTAAATCAAGCCTACTATATATATGATACGCTAAAATCTTTTTTCTTATTATTTCTTTGTCTAATAATTATCTCTCCATTAAATAACAACGTGAATGCAAATTTGAGGATAGGATAATAAATATATCATTTGAATTTTATAATGACATATACTGCACGACAACGTGTTCGTTAATTTTATAAGATAATATGGCACGCATTAGAAAATTTTAAGAAGTCCATGGTACAGTACATATTTTATATATATTAATAAAGGATAATAAAAATAATTCTTAAATTACATGATACAGTACATATGATATAGAAAAACGATAATCCCAAAATGTATTCATCAATCAGATTAAGATGGTGTTTTTGGCTAAGCTTATTTTAAACAGCTGATAAGCTCTTCCGTCTAAAACACTTTTACTAATGATACACTAACACCGCCGATAAATAGTACAATACAACAAGAGATGATAAAACATGTTCTAAAATGTAACACATAGACATAAATAATATTCAAGATAATTGCTGACAAGCCCTCCAATTTTTGAATTTTATCCAAAAAACCGCGAAGAGCCGATATATGATTATTAAAGCCCTAGATTTGAGAGAAGCTGGCGCCACCTAGGAGTTTCCTCGTCGAAGATGTAAGTTAAAGGAGAAACCAGAACCCCACTCCCTCCAATCTGCAAAATAAATTAAAGAAACATATAAGAATTGGCTGCTGAGGTTTAAGAAATCGCATTTTCAGACATAAACGGCAAAAGAAAAAACCGAAACAAGAGCATATATAGAAAGAACTCTCACCGCCCTAAGCTGCTGTACAGACTTGTAAAGTGCTTTCTTCGGTACACAAATAACTATAGCATAGTAATCTGCTGCTACTCTCCCGTCACGCTTACAGAAAACTGGGCTTACGGTGGGTCCCTGCATCCAAAAGCACAACCAATATATAAAAAGACAATGACTTGAGGAAGTATTCAATCATTTTAAGGCCTCGTTTGGTAGGTAGGATATAATAAGCCATGATTAATTGAATACTTAGGTTTTGTTAGATGTTTGGTTGGTGCAATAACTTTTGGGTCCGACCAACAATTTCGTGAAAAAATAAGCTTCTCATAAGGTTGCATAATCTTATATGCTGACTAATCTTATCTTGAAAAACAAACGAGGCGTATCAGGTATACGACAAGATGTACTGACCTGCAAACCAGATAGAGATGGTTGGCTAAGTACTCGCTCAGCCACTTCCTCTGCACTGTTTCCTCTCATGTTCGCAGTTACCTGCCATTAGAACTGTAAATAACAGCAATAAAAAAGGAAAAACAGTATAGTATTTTTTTTTTAAAACCAATGATTTGTACCGTGAATTGGCCAGCAGCTCTTAAATGAGCCTCCAATCTTTCGAGCATTTCGTGGGTGATATCAAGCACACCTTTTCGCTGGAACAATGACCTTTTGCTAGCAACAAGAACGGCCTAAAATGGTAGACGGAGGGATATTATGGAAACAATAACCCTCTTTTTATCCACCAGAAATGACTCGAAAAATAACTAAAAATGAGAGTTGAGGATTTGAAGTAAATTGCAAAAACAGATTCATGCGAACGAGAGTTCGACGGATTTTGAAATACTCCCTTCAAATCCTTCAATCCAAATGAGGACTTGAGTTTTGCAGGTACGAGATTGCCACGAACAAAAATAAAACAACTACCTGACTTTCCAGGATAACTCCACCGTCGATTTCTTTCAAATTATTCTCTTTCAATGTGGTTCCACTACTCACAAGGTCTACAATAGCATCAGCTATCCCCATCTAAAAACAAATAAAAAAATAATAAATAAATCAGTATTAGGGTTTCTCAGGTTATAAAAAAATCAGCACATCATATGCAGCAATGTGTTTGTTCATCGAAGCATCACATTAGAGATTTACACCAAAACCCCACATTCGAATAGCAAATATCAAGTGACAAGTGTTTCAAGATAACTTATCAAGATAGAGTCAGTACCATCAATCTAAATAAAAGAAATACGTAAGATCAATTAAATCCAACAGCCCCTTCACAACTATTTGTTCGGTGGTGGCATTAGAATTCAAGAACTAGCCACTAGATAGAATTACTTCTGATAACTGTTGATTACTTACCGCAGGAGCTGCTTCTAGAGCTCCATCAGCAGTTGAAAAAACGACATGTTTCAGTCCATTTTCCTTCATGAACTTTGGACCCAACTGCAAACAAAGGGGTATGCTAAACAAAACGGTTCCCATATGAAGAGAATATAAACGAGGAAGAAAAAACAGGACAAAAATAAAATAAAATTTCAGAATGAATCGTACATAAGTAAATCCAGTAGCAACTCTTAGAGGTCTCTCGGATGTCCATTGTGGCATTTGAGCGAGCTCTTTCAAAGAGTTTATATTCTCAAATATGCCATACTTGGGAACCTGACAAAAGGAAGAATTATACATATGCAAGTGAAACGAGCAACATGGAAGAAGAAAGAAAATTGGAATTTGTTATAATAGTTATGACCAAGTTGCTTACTGCTAGTGATAAACGACAATCCCCGTAGTCAAGAGCCTCATGAACAAGAATGAGATCTTCATCCCCCTATAAAAATTATCTAAGTCAGGAGAGTTTAATATAAACTGTGGAAGTTAACAGCCTCGATAAAGAAATGAATTAGTACTACTTATATACCAGCCACCAGAATCATCCAAAATAAAATCTAATGAACAATGTAGAACGAAAAATTCCCAAATCATGCATTTGAGAGGAGAATGTATGTTTAGTTGATCAAGTACGAGTCATAAAATATCGAGAAAAATGCACCAGGAAACTAAACATACGAACTTTTCACACATGTAAAATTTTTATCATGCTAATTACATCATTTATGATAAAATAAGCCCCTCAAAGACCTTGAAATCGTACCTGGCCATATTCGTTCACTATGTCCAAGCCAACAATTCCAAGATCTAAATCTCCGGACACCAGTTTCTTCACAATGTCTGTTGGCCGTTGATACCAAACTTCTAAAGTCGGAATCTGCAATACATTAAAGAAGTTGCATTTAGCTACAAAGGTGTTATTTATATCAGATAAAATCCTCAGAATCAGATGAATCCACGAAAGCAAGAGAAACAAATCACCCACGAAAATGTATTTGCTATAAAAAGAAAACCGAATCAGTTTTATGTAGCACTGCAGATATTATACCCAAGGTCTGCCATATAATGCAAGTGGAGAAATATTGATATATGTCAACTCGAGCATACGTTTCCAAACACTATCAGTGGCGGAGCCAACGCAAAGCCAACGGGGGCAATAGCCCCCCAACATTTCTCAAATCTCTATTAATTTATGCAATTAACAATCAAGGTGAATTCATAAATCTCATCTCAGAACAAAATACGAAAAAAAGTATGAACAGCAAAAACCAATCATTGTAGCACCTGAGGAATCTCCGCAACATACTGCCGTGGATTAATCTGTCTCACTGACAATTGGCAATCCTTCAAAGGGGGGAAAAGGAAACAGTAAAAAATTCAGTGAAAAATCCGCCGAATACCGTGAACACTAATACTCTAACACGATCGTATAAATGAAATTACATACATACCTTGAGAAGATCGAGAGTGTCGGTGGCCATTCGGCCTTTGCTCGGCAATCCAAGCCGGACTTCAGCCCTCTCCGACGGTCTCAAGTCCACAGTCTCGTTCAATAGAGTTACCGGCGACGCCACCGAGAAACAGGAAACGGAGAATTTCACGGAAACGCGATTACTGGAAGAAGACGCCGGCGTTGAGAAAGGTGAAACTGAAACGGAGGGGGATTGCAGGAATACAGTCCGCATCGCAGGCATTTCTTCGGATTTCTGCGTAGCTAGTGTGTGTGTGTGTGAGAGAGAGAGAGAGAGAGAGAGAGAGAGTGGCGGAGAGAGATTTGAGTGAGAAGAGACTAACCGCCGCCGCCGACGACGACGCTGCTGATGTGTATTAGGTGAGAGGGACGCATGGAATATAACAGCGAGGATGCTTTATGTGCCAAATGTTTCTCTGCATCCGTCACCTCTTTTATTTCCTGCACTCGGCTTTACTAGTAATTAAGAAACTAAATTATCCTTATATAGTAATGGTAATGAAATGCAATTTTCCTTTTTTTTTTTTTTTTTTTTTTCTTTTTTTCTATTTTTAGGGAAAATGATTTGTTTTAATTCCTTTTTCCCTTTCCTTTGTTGAGATTCAAGTCCTATGATAATATTTGGATAAATCGCGTCCAACTCCCTAAGGTAAGGTCAAATTACGAAAAAACCTCATTGATGTTTTGGTAATTACAATCATTCCCTTAGCTATGAATCTTCTTACACATTCACCCTTAACGTGTCAAATTTAGTGGAGTCTTCTAGATTATGTGGAATATTCTCTATTTTGTACCTGTTTTACCCCATTCCAGCTCCACATTTTCTAATAAGATGATCATAAGATGTGTCTCTTGGCTTGTAAATATCAGATTGTGGTGCATTAAAAACTGCATTTTTGCACAAAACGAGTACAAACTAGAGAAACATTTCACGGAATCTATAAGATTCTGTTGAACTTGACACCATAACTGTAAACGTGTAAGAAGACTCATAGTTGATGAGTGGTTGTAATTACCCAAACACGAGATGATTTTTCGTGATTTGACCTTACATCAGGTGTAACCGTAATTTACCTATATTATTTTTCAATGTAGTTACAAAGTGAGATATGATGCAAAAGGGATGATGGTGTGATATTTATAATGTAGTTATCTAATAGATTAACGATTAATAATTACTCGTGATTTAGTTGAGTTATGAGTAGGAATTCAATTAACGTACATCTTAGTGAACTATGGAGTGCCATTGACTTGGACCCATTTGAATTTCTTTAATAATTACTTTCAATTATTGATAATAAGTGGAGAAAAGGACTAAGTGAATGGTTATCTAGATTGGCTTTTTTCTTTTTCTTTTCCAAATCTTCATGGAATTGATATATTATGGTTATGGATAAATAATTAAGTGAATGGTCAATTAGATCATATATTTATGTGTGTACATATATATAATTTCCCACTAGCTAAGTAAACATTTAAAATCTATAAAATTAGGGACAATTTGAATTGTTCCTCAAAACTAATTAATTTTCATTTTCTTTCTATGGGTATAGTCCATTGCTCCACTTTTTATAAAACTACCCTCACAATTTTGTTAACGGAAAATCTCTCTAACATTCTCAAAACGTTGTAATTCAAACGCTAGTCCTTGTTTCCCCTGCAAGGTAGTTGGTCGATTGTTTTCTAAGTTGTGAAACAACTGAGTCAACGAATTCAAACTAGTTATCAAATTTAAAATCAAACGAGTCAACTCATCGAAATTACTGAACTCACATGTAAATTAGTTGAGTGTTAATTCAAGATAATTTGGCTAACTAATTCATAGACCGAGCAGAATATGTATGGGCGAATTACAAACCCTATTTCGCACTGGAGACTTACCTCAAATGGAAATATAAACACAAAATTTTTAATCAAAACAAAAATAAATATATGTCGCCAAGGGTAGAACTTCACTATTTTTTTCACGATTATGTGATTACCTATTTACTAAATATATAAAAATCATAAATGAAAAAAAATAGAAAAATCCAAAATACATAAACACTAATTAAAAATTAAATATATATATAATTAATTAAGATAAATAAAACCTATGAAGGTGGCGTGTTGTACTCCTCCTCTTCCTCCGTTGGCATCAAAACCCCAAGTCGGAGACAAGTCAATTTCTTTTTGGTAAAACCATTCACTCATAAATTACAGTCTCACTTTTTTTTCTTCCGATCTGAAGAAAAAAATCTCAGAGCAAAATCTTTTCGTCTGTTTCTTTTTTTTTTCTTTTTTTTTTTTTGGGGTCAAATTCCCAGCTGTAATTTCTCCATTGCCAGCCAACCATTTCTTATGCTTCTTCCGCCGACAAATTACAGATCTTTCTTACAGATATCGAAAACCCATTTAATTTCAGTTAATTTTCTCGACAAGATCTCCGAGACCCACTGATATTTTTCTACTGGGCCAGAAGTGGGTGGGAACTTAATTCATCGATGCTGTAGTGGTGTAGAATGAAAGTGAGATAGTTAGGATTTTTTTTTTCTTCTTTCTAATTGTGTGAAGATGGCCGCGGCGACGGCGGCGGCGGCGGTGGCGGCTATGGAGGTGGGCGGCGGTGTTGTGGACACGGGTTCGGATTCGTACAGGGGGATGTCGTCGGACAATATAAAGGGGTTGATTATGGCTTTATCTTCCAGCATCTTCATCGGAGCTAGCTTCATTGTTAAGAAGAAGGGATTAAAGAAAGCTGGTGCTTCTGGTGTAAGGGCTGGTAAAAAATTCTACTTAATTTCTAGCTCTGTAGCTGATGAATTTTACTTGGGTTCTTCGAATTTTGAAAATTGAGCTCAAGGTGTTCGATGAATTGTCTGGAGATACCGAATCGGTTTTTTTTCTTTTTCTTGAGGAAGTGGTATGATTTTGTGGGTGTTGGATAATAACAGCAAAATGTTGCTACTATGCTGGGATCGGATTCAATTTTCGAGATCTCGATTTATTAATTTTGTTTTTAGATGTTCAATTTTGAAAATTCTTGCTGTCTAGGTCTATGCTGGATCAAGATAGTCTATCGGAAAATAGTGTGGTCAATGTTAATTCGATCGTATATCCTCGATAATCAGTCGGTGGAGGCTTCATACGAAACACATTTAAGTTCATAAACAAATTACCGCAAGAATTTTGCTCACAGAAGCAGTTTCCGTTTTTAATTGAACATTGGAGACATGGATATGATGATAAATGATTTTCTTGCTGTCTACAAATCTCTTGTATGATTCATATGGATCGTACGACGATTTATGTTTTTGGCTATTTGGATTTTGGTTGAAATAAGTCGGGTTTTATCTTTAGAATCTCGATATTAATTTTTCGTATTATTTTTTTTTCACAGGAGTTGGAGGATATTCGTATTTATACGAGCCGTTATGGTGGACAGGCATGATAACTAGTGAGTTTACTTATCTCTATCTCTCGTCTTCATTCTGTGACATTGTACCTTGTTTACGACACTAAGTTGTTGGCTGAATCACAAAAGAAATGCAAAGAATCGACTATCTCGATTGAGTTATTTAATTGATTTTCCGTTGTGACAGTGATTGTTGGAGAAATTGCAAATTTTGCGGCATATGCATTTGCTCCAGCCATTCTTGTCACCCCTCTCGGTGCACTCAGCATTATTATCAGGCATGATACTATGTTATACAGCTCTTATTTCGACTGCACCACCTCGTTTCGATTACTGATCGATTTTGTATTTTATATAAATTGCAGTGCTGTACTAGCACACATTATTCTACAGGAGAAGCTACACATTTTCGGTATTCTCGGTTGTGCATTATGTGTCGTGGGGTCCACCACAATCGTCCTACACGCCCCACAAGAACGCGAGATTGAATCCGTGAGGGAAGTGTGGGATCTTGCCACCGAGCCAGGTATATTACGTTTTTTAACTTTCTGAATTTTTTTCTTTTTTCTGCTTTTTTTATTTTTTTTTCACAAGATTTAAATATTGCAGCTTTTCTGTTTTACGCAACTTTGGTGGTAGCGATTGTCCTTGTCCTCATATTTCATTACGTTCCGCAATATGGACAGACGCATATATTGTTCTACATCGGTGTTTGTTCGTTAGTTGGTTCGTTGTCGGTATGTTCTTGATTTTTTTTAAAATAGAGTCTCTTGATTTTAAATATATTTGCTTAATTATGAAAAATGCTTTGGCAGGTTATGAGTGTCAAAGCACTAGGAATCGCATTGAAGCTGACACTTTCGGGAACTAATCAGTTAATATATCCTCAGACTTGGGTCTTTGCTATGGTTGTCACCATTTGTGTACTCACACAAATGAACTACCTAAATAAGGTAATATATATATATATATATATATATATATATACACCGCTTCTGCTATATGTTTAGATGTGACTATTTTCTGAAGTATGTGCCAATCTTACTGATTACTCAATAAATTAATTCTCGATAAATTAATAACCTTGCTTAAATAATAGTTTTTTCTGGTCCCGGCTCGGTAAAAATCTACTAAGTTATTAGTTCGATAATTTAATATTTCGCTATATTAATAGAATTTTGCCAGTCCCGGCTCTATTAATTTGTAGAGGTTTAACTGTAGGAGTTTATTGCATTTGGTACCCTGTTTTATATCGAATTGTTACAGAGGTCCCCGTGTTATTAATATTAGCAAAAAAACCCTATACCATTTTCTTAGCACACAACTCCCAAAATGGTGAATTTTTAGGGGTAATTTGCTTAAAAAACTGCATTAGAGGGAGGGTTTTGCAAATATTAATAACACTGGAACTTTTTAAAACTATTCGACATAATACAGGGGTACCAAACGCAATAAACCCGAGCAAATAGTATTGTTTGAATTTTTCCATATCATGTAAGTTTTGATTACTTTAACCCATATTGCTTTGTTTCATGGGTAGTAATTACGGATTTATTTTGTCTTCGCCTAAATGTCGTCTCGTTAATCGTCTTATGTTTTATGGAATGCAGGCTCTTGATACATTCAACACTGCAGTGGTTTCACCTATTTACTATGTCATGTTCACATCCTTGACCATATTGGCAAGTGTCATCATGTTCAAGGTAATCATTTACAATTAATATATATATATATATATATATATATATATATATATATATATATATATATATATATATATATATATATATATATATGGGATCTAATTGAATGAAAGATCAAGATTATTGATATTCTTGTTATATATATTTATTATATGAGCAGGATTGGGACAGGCAGAATTTAACTCAGATTGTTACAGAAATGTGCGGATTCGTTACTATTCTTTCCGGAACTTTTCTTCTCCACAAAACGAAAGACATGGCCGATGGTACGTTGTTCAAAATCCCTTCTTTACAGTGAATTACACAATACTTCTAAAACAATCGAATTTTTAAATTATTTTTTTTCGTTTCTGAAAATATAGGTCCAATACCAATAGGCATGATGAAGCTTCCGAAACATGCTGACGAGGACAGCTTCGGTCAAGAAGGTATCCCTCTAAGACGGCATGGAGACGAAGAAGAAGGATTCGTTCAAGACGGTATTCCTCTAAGAAGACAGGAATCTTCTAGAATATTACCGTGATATTTTTTTCCGGGGCCCGCATTTATGTGATATTTTGTATTTATCCCAACACAACACACAATTTATTGGAGGGAGAGGGGAGAATGTATTTTTACTTTTTTTGGATTTTCCCTTTTTACCCCTTATGTAATACAAAGATGGTATCAACAGAGAAGTAGATTTTTTTCCACCTGGGATTATTATTTTTGTGTACTAATCTTCTTATCTTCATCGAAATATACATACATGAATTCCACATTGTGTCGATTAAAAAAATTCATAACATTTTCTCGATTTGTACACTGAATCATTAAGGCCCGTTTGGCTACACATTTTTGACAAAATTGAAGAACAATAACTTGTCTGGTTTTACTTGTTTATCTGTTTGAGAAGACCGGAAACCGAACCGCAATGTGTCGACTTATATTCACACTGTTCACAGCAAAACTGTAGCAACTGAATGACTTTGATGCACCTACACCAGAAAAAGAAAAAAAAAAATCGAAATATGATAAGCTTCGTATACGAATTACAGCAGAAAAAAAACGTATAATAAAAAAATTTCTTACAAGATTTATATATGCAATATCTCAAACTAGTTAGCACAATACAACCACAAAAGCTTGAATTGCTATCAAAGAATCAAGAACTACATAACTTAAACCGATTAATTACGTCACATTTAACCGATTATTTACGTCACATTAAAACTTTTCACTTTTTAATAAATAAAGTTCTGAACCTTATATTTATGAAGTGATTAAAAGATACTATTATCGTATTACGATAAAACCGAACATTTGTAAGGAAACTTTCGCAAGCTCGACATTAATAATTTTTCGACTAGATAAAAAAAGATGTCTGTAAATAAGTTTGGAGATTCAAACAGATGGGGGATTACATAATTGATTATTGAGTCAATGCAATAGGCAGCAAAGTATACAAAGAACAACAACATAAATACAAAATTAAATTAAAATAACATAAATACAAAATTAAATTAAAATAAAACAACATTTGCATTCTTGTTAATAATAAAATCCAAGCAAAGGAAATGTATCTTAACAAAGTTCAACAATACACCTCAATCAAACACAAAGAAAACCATCAATTATTTTTATGTTTATCTTCCTTTTTTTTCACACGAAATAATTAAGTGTATATATATGTATTAATAATAATAAATAAATTAAGAAAAAGGGAAAAAAAAGAAAATTACTTTTGGGGAAGGAAATTGTTCTTGGAGAGGCAGGACTGAATATCGCAAGCTTGTTTCTTACATGGTTCTTTACTCGGCTGCGCCATTTTTTACCAAACCCTAATCCTCAAAATTCCCCCCCTTTTTTTTATTTTTTGCTACTTCCAGAATTGATCGGTGCTTACTGTTGAGAAAATGGCAGTCAAATCGAATTGTTGATTTGGTGGAATTCTTCCAATTTGTCGATTCGAGAAGATGAATTATAGAGACGATTGATCTGTATCTATAATCTATATATTTAAATAAACAGTAGTAGTCGGTTTGTTTGGGGTTTGTTTGGATACGTGGATTACAGATAGTCGGCTTTGTGAATAAGACTGGTCAACGATTTGAGTTTTGTATATTACATTTTTTTCTCAAAATTGGATTAAATTTTAAAAAAGTAATGATTTCTGTATTTTTTGTTTTGCAATAATTTTGCAATAATTTGACTTTGTGAATACTTTGCAACTAATTATCAAAAAAAAAGAATACTTTGCAATTTGCATAGTATTTAAGTTAATTGGTATGAAACTTGCCAAAATGGTCATATTCTGGGATGCAAAATGATATTTATATTAAAATACTAAATAGTATAAATACCCATTACATTTTTTTAATTATTTACTTGATAATTGAAAATCAATAATATTTTTGATTTTTTTATTATGACATTATTGTGAATTGGTGAATAAATATTTTTATGCAAATTATGATCAATACATAGATATAAATGAAAATACAAACTTGATTGACATTAACAGTGATTTTTTTTTTTTTTCGGGTCCAACTCATTGCTTGGGTTGTGATCGTCGCCATTCGGACATCTTGGGCTTCTCATTCCACCGGGCGGAGACGACCTGCAAATTCCCGCACACTCCATCTCTCACACTTAACACGAGAATCCCTATAGCAACCATCGTCGTGCGATAGGAGCTTGTCCTTTCTGGAAAAGCAGCATCAACATTAATCTTGATCGTCTCCCACGGTGGAGGTTTCCAAACCGCTTCCTCGAGCTGAAATGTCTCCTCCCCATGTAATATCCGGTTACGACGATCCTATATCCGCCAGCACACTACCACTGCCACCAAGAGCGATGCGATGAAAGTCGAAATCCTAGTCATGTACAAGAAGTGCATGCACAACCACAAAGCACCCGACATAACAAACAACCAGACAATAGATTGATTTACAAACTAATATATCAAGGTCACAAGCAATGCACAAATCCTGCACTAATGAACTTGGCACAAAATTAACACATTCATCGACAATAAACCGACCAAATGCCATTTATGATTATAATGAAACTCGCTCAAAAGGGGGTCTAATTAATTTCTAGAGCTCGCTCAAATGTTTCATCATAAAGAAATCTAAAAGCACGATCAAATTGCACGTTCCAATTGCACAAACTGTGCACTAATAATCAACTTGACACAAAAAATAAATTGAAAATAGCAAATATTGTCCTGAAAAGCTGTCTTTGCACCAATCAACTAGGTTTTTTTTTTTTTTTTTTTTAAATTACAGGAATTAGATTACGCGTAAAATCAACTGCGCTCTCAACACTCACCATTTCACTGTCTACATAAACTCCCCACTCCGTCGTTTCATTCCAACGCACCATCTAAAAAAACACATTCTGCAGTCAAAAAAGAAAAGAAAAACTTTCTGCATTCTTGAAAAGAAATGGGGACTGACAATGCATTGAAAGTGAAAGTGCTAGTCATGTACAAAGAGTGTATACTCAACCATGCAGCCTCCAACAGAGGATCCCGCGAGGCCATGCGCTATGCTGCCTCCAAGGGTGCTGCGCGCGCAAAGAGAATAACGAGGGCCCAAAGCGAAATGGTGAGGGCCTTGGGTGAGAGGAACGACTGAAAAATGTTCCGAAAGTATTCTCAGGCTGAGGTTTTACGTATTTGTTCCGATTACGGAATAACTAAACTGGCCCTCAAAAACTGCATCTCTCATCACATGCATGCAAAACGAGCAGCTGCAATAGATCAACAGTAGAATTTTAGTTTTTTTTAATTGGAATGAAAGTTCTTTTAAAATTCTTTTATTCATTATCCTCAAATATATATATTCAATAGGAGAACCATAGATCATTGTCTTTATTTTCCTTGTCCAAAATTCAACTGCACTTGAGATTCACTAAATCAATATACTAATTAAATTAGGATAGATCATGCAGTGCACTAATATTGCACAATATAACTAATAACACATTTCTTCTACCATTCTACTTTACATTATTATAATTCACTCTTCAAAATTAAGAAATAAAATCATCAGCATGTTACTTAAACTAGTGTTATACATGCAAAATACGATGTCACAACCAACGCACAAACCCGACACTAATTATTTAACTAGAAATTAATCGTTACGTTTTTGTAATAAAAATAGGTCATAAATATGACACACAAATATTATTACAACAAGCGCACATACTAAATTATTGCACAAAGCAAAACTACTCTTCCCTAATTTCAACTTCATTAAAACATGGAGGCAACAAAATTATTGTCCTAGTTTAATGAAACTTCCAAAAAAAAAATGTTCAATTTATGGAATCAGTTGTAGTTACCAAATAAAAAAATCAAAGTTCATCGATTACTCAAAAGAACACAATTATTTGCCATTGATTAGTCACTTAAGAGGCGTACCCGAGTGATGATGCTAAAATGTAGATCATCTGGGATAGTGTAGAAAAGGAACTGGGAGAGCAAAGCAGATCAGTAGCTTGACAACTTGATGATCCTGAGGTACCTGCGATCATAGAACACATGAACTAAGCCGGGGGTTGATCCGGCGGAAACCCCTCCGACGCTCAAGTCAGACGTGCTGATCATAGAAATAGTCCAGAGAATACATATTTTAGTATTGCTCAGTTAATAGGACGTACCTTGAAGAATGAGTTCAGACCTTTATTTATAGCTTAGTTGAGATTGTCGGGCCCAAACCTTACTTGAAGGTGATTGGGCCTCGGTGATAGTGGTCTTCGATATTGGGCTCGTGGCCCAGTAGGTTGATAATTTGTAGGTCCATTGGGTTGGGCCAATTAGGCATATCACCGAGTTATCTCTACATTCATTACCTCATTTGCCATTCTCTTTCAACTGTGGGCACATTCTCATCAAGAATGTCGAAAACGAGTTATTCATCTGCATATCGGCTTTGAATACCTGCATATCGTAAATCATATATATTACCAAATGAATGAGAAAATTCAAATGCACAATCTCAATATGTTTAGTAGAGAGGATCAAGAACTTACTAATTAATCTTATATTCTCTAGATACTAAATTCTGCCAACATCTGTAAAATGAAATATTGTTAAGCAAGGCAAAAAGACAGTTAAATATATAGAACAAAGAGGGAAACAAAAAATGGGTACACAATATAATTACAAAAAACTCCTTAAGGTAAGATTAAATTATAAAAAAAAACCCATCATGTTTGGGTAGTTACATCATTGTTCAACTATGAACCTTCTTGCACGTTCACTCTTATAGTGTCAAATTTAACATAATCTTCTAAATTTCGTGAAATGTTCTCTAGTTTATACTCATTTGCAAAAATGCAGTTTCTAATGCACAACAATCTGATACTTACAAGCCAAGAGACTCATCTTATGATCATCTTGTTTCAAAATGTGGAGCTCGAATAGGGTAAAACGGGTACAAATTGGAGAATATCTCACATAATTCAGAAGATTCCACTAAATTTGACACTAGAAGGGTGCACATGTAAGAAGATTTGACATCGCCGCAAGTAGGTGGCCATAATTTACCCTGTAAATGTTATATATGGGAAAAATATAAATTTTTAAAATTAAAAATGGAATCGAAAATTGGAATTTCGTTTATATTTCAATTCCTACAAATATAAATACGAAATTTGGAATATTTCCCCTAAATTCAAAATGAATATTGTTCCAAAGAAAAAATATTAAATTAAAGATACTATATATGGATCTAATTTTTTGTAGAATTCATTAAACCAATAATAATAGCAATGATAATGAAATTTTTGCCCCTACGTTATAAGTTATTTGCTAATAAAATTGATATTATAAATGTAATAGTCAGCAAAAATAAAAATAAAAATTGAAAATTAAAATTGAATCGAAAATTGGAATCTCGTATATATACAAAATATGCAAACAAAAAAAATGAAAAATGAAAAATATTGTTCCAAATAAAAATATCAAAAATTAATATACATGGATCGATTTAGAGGAAAATCTAAAATTTTGTTCTTATTTTCACACTCATTTCAACATCTCATTAACTACTATAATTGTATTGCCAAAAAAAGCATTCTTTTTCTAAAGAACTCATTACTAAATAATAATAGTGATAGCAATGACATTTTGCCCCTAAACTATAGGTCGTTTTGCTCATTATCGATCCATCTAACGATCGTTGCAATGTTCACCCGACGTGACATTTTGTTCAAAAGCTTACATGAACCCTATGCATACAACTCGAACATAGTTTTGGTTCGAGTAAAATTATTAAAGTCGTCTTTTTTATTTTTGCATTATTCTTCAAATCTTTTTTACAATTGTCTTTTGTTTGCTCATGCAAGACCAAATAACAAATAAAAAAAATTATGAAACAACTAAATTTCGACATTAAGGTGTCGAATATATGTCCATAAATTCGACACCTAAATGTCGAAATTTAGTGTATTTGGACTAATTTGCTAACACTTAAATTTCGACACTAAGGTGTCGATTTTTGTACTCCAAAATCGACATCTCAATGTCGATTTTTACCTATAAAATTCGACATGTACATGTCGACTGTGTTGCGTGGAATTTAAAAAAAAAAATATGAAACAACTTAATTTCGACATTAAGGTGTCGAATATATGTCCATAAATTTGACACCTCAATGTCGAAATTTAGTATATTTGGACTACTTTGCTAACAATTAAATTTCGACACTAAGGTGTCGATTTTGTACTAAAAAATCGACATCTCAATCTCGATTTTTACCTATAAAATTCGACATGTACATGTCGACTGCGTCTGCGCGAGATGTTTTTTGGGAAAACGATATTCTAGCTAAAAAAACACATAAATGCATATTTTCTTGGGTTTTTCCACCGTAGATTCTTCTATTTTGATGTCTTGTGACTCCATACTTACCATCTTTGTAAGATTTGTTGAGTTTTGATGATTTTGAATGTTTAGGTTTTGTGGGTTTATAGATGAGGAAGAAGAAAGGTTTTGATGGAGAAGATGATAGTTGGTCTTATGGTTTTGTGATAGGGTTTTTTTTTTGTTTTTGAGTTTTTGGTATTCCACATTTGGAATTTTCTATTTTTTTAACAAGTAAGGGTATTATAGTATTTATACATTAAAAAAATCAATTTGGTCTTGCACAAGTGGAGTTAGTCTTGCATATAGCCGCAACCTATACAATTACCTATACTTATCAAATGAGGATAGAGCGAGCGGGCACTGCACTAATATTGCACATTGCGCTAATATTGCACAATATAACTAAAAACAGAATTCTTGTACTGTTCTAGTTTATATTTTTGGAGTTAATATTATCACAATTTCGTTCACCTAGGATTCCCGAATCGAACTACCAAATTTTTTTCTCGACATTTCTATTACGCATCCACGTGCTAGGTTATTCTATATCAGCATCTCTAACAGAGGAATTACGAAAACGAGACGCTAATGAATCGGATCCTAAGATTACTTATACACAAATAATAAGTTAATCTTACAACCAATCTAATAAGTTACTCCAATAAGGTTACAATTAAATTGGTTAGAAGACGGAATTGAAAGACATTATTATGGAGTTTCTTGTTGCTAGCCGAAAACCTAGAATAAGTAATGGTTACTATAATAAGATTAGGTTACGTTTATGTTAATAAGTTCTCGTACATTTCTAAATGGTTTTTTTTTTTTTTTTTTTTTGTAATTTAACCTCGTTAGGGACATGTTCTCTTTTAACTTCCTTTGCCATTCTCTTTTAACTGTTGGCACTTTCTGAACAATGTCGAAAATTAAACCAGTTATTCATCCATATCGACTTTGAATATCTGCATATTGTAAATCATATATATACACCAAATGAATGAGAAAATTCAAATGTACAGTCTTAGTATGTTAGTAGAGAGGATCAAGAACTACTAACTTTACATTATGCCAACAACTGTAAAATGAAATATTGTTAAACGAAGAAAAAAGACAGTTAAATAGAACAAAAGGTGAAACGAAAAATGGATATTATATTATAAGTGTAATAGTTAGCAAAAAAAAAATGAAATTGAAAATTAAAAATCGAATCGATTATTGGAATCTCGTTTATATTCCCACCTACAAAAACAAATACAAAATTTGCAAACAAAAAAATCAAAATGAAAATGGAAAATGGAAAATGGAAAATGAAAAATATCGTGTTCCAAAATAAAAATATTAAAAATAAATATACGTGGATCGAATCAGAGGAAAATCTAAAAGTTCGTTCTAATCTTCATCCTCATTCTCAAAATCTCTTTAACTATAATATTTGTTTTGCAAACATAAGCATTATTCTTAATTGCAATAAGGTTCGGAAGTTATTGGAAGATGACGGATTTTTTTCAACTGATAACATGTTGCATTTATTTATTTGTTTCCAATCTTTAAGTTTAAACTAAATAGTAATTAATACGTATAACCAATGATGATGAGTAACGAATTTACGATTTACCCTAACCAAAACCACGTGGTTGCGTGTCCCTAAACAAATCTAGCACGGTGTTGTGGCATTTCTTAATTGCAACGAGATTCAGAAGTTAATAACTGTCGGAGTTATTGGAACATGACGGATTTTTTCGACCGATAACATGTTGCATTTATTAATTTATTTGTTTCCAATCTTTAAGTTTAAACAAAATAGTAATTAATACGTATAACCAATGATGATGCGTAACAGATTTACGATTTACCCTAGCCAAAACCACGTGGCTGCGTGTCCCTAATGATCACGAAATCAGCTTTTCGACATAAATGGTAAATTTAACGAACAACGTAAATACCGACCAACGGTTTATAATTTAGGCGGCAAAATTATTTACCCTAATAATGATTAGTTATTCCAACGGTCATTTATTTACCCTAATGTCTTCATGATTGTGACGTCATAATTAAATAAAATTAATAAAATCTGATCCTGCAAAGTTATTTTGACTTTACTATTCAAAACTCAAATCTGAGTCTGTAATTTGATTTTAAATTATAAAATATATTCGTTTGAATTTTATATAGAAAGTAAATAGAGTGAATATATATATCATGAGTCTGAATAGAATTGAAGGATAATCTTGTTTATGGATTTATTAATTAATATTTTTCTATTTCATAATTCACTATTTTCTAAAATGGATTAATCATAATTACTGGATTTTCTTTTCTTATTCTAAGTTTTGCATCTTAATTCAAACGTAATTAAATAATAAGTACATGAATCAGCATTATAAAAAAAATTATAAGCACACGTTTCTATAACATATAATCTAATCCAATTGTAATCCAACCAAAATTGGGAAATTTTTAAATTGTATTGCTAAATGTGTAATAAAATTATTTTTAATAAAAAGAAAAAGAAAAAGAATATTCCATTTCAGTATTTGAGTAAGTAAATCACTAAATCCGGAATACAAATTTCAAGAATTGAAATCCAATTTACATAATCCAAAATTACAGGAATAAGATTACACCTCAACCCTCATTTCACTCTCTATATAAACTCACCACTCCATTTCATTTCATTTCATTTCACTCACCATCCAATAAAAAATAAAAAATTAATTCTGCATTCTTGAAAAAAAATGGCCAATGACAATGCATTGAAAGTGGAAATGCTAGTCGTGTACCAAAAGTGTATGCACAACCATGCAGCCTCCAGCAGAGGATTCCTCCTCGATGGTTGCGGCCTCTTCGAGGCCCCTAGCGGCACCACCGCCGGGTCCCGCGAGGCCATGTTCTGTGCCGTCTGCGGCTGCCACCGCAACTACCACCAGAGAGTCGCGGTGGAAATTCCGCAACACTACCACTCCTCCCGCTCCTCCTCCGCCTCGCACCCCCACCAACAACAACAGCCCGCCTCCTACCCCCACCAACAACAACAGCCCGCCTCCCACCCCCACCACAACCACCGTGGTGGCAGAGGCACCATGATCATTCGCCGCGAACCGGCCTCTGCACCGGGCCGTTTCGCTCCCGAGCAGGCGGCGGCTCGTCGGCAGACGCCGGCAGCGAGCCCCGCCCTGACCACCACTCCGGCCACCAGACGTGTACAGAGCCGAGCCCCACATCGACATGCGGAGGGCACTTCTGCTGCACGACAGGGAGTGCCACCTCAGCATGGGGTGCGTGCCACGCGCGCAAAGAGAATAACGAGGGCCCAAACCGAAATGGTGAGGGCCTTGACTGAGAGGAACAACTGGAAAAAGTTCCGGGAGTACTCTCAGGCCGAGGTTTTACGTATTTGTTCCGATTTCGGAATAACTACACTGGCCCTCAAAAACTGCATCTCTTCTCTACACAGGCGAAGAAGAAAAGCTGCAATAGCTGCAATAGATCAACACTAGGGTTTTCGTTTTAGTTTTTTTTTTTTTCGGTTCCTAGGTTTAACGGGAACTAGTGTATGTTGTAATAGATGCATTGTATGTACTGAGATGTATACATCTCTGATTTACAATTCAGTCTTTTTTTTTTTTATTATTGAAGTAGTAAGAGCTTTGGATCTTAACTTATTCATTCAACTGAAATTAGATCTTGTCGTTTATATCGTTGGAAAAGTTGTAGAATCCGTTGCAAACGAACATTAATTAAGGTACGACTAAACGGAAAGTACTTGTAGAGTAGTTATCCTACGTACTCTCTAATTACTATAGCCGCCAGGCCGTTAGTTTCTTGCCATTTAAGTTAATACATAAATTAATTAAATATTTGCAGAATTTTTTTTGTTGTCTTTTAACTCCGACGACACTTCTTTGTGCATATGTCGAACTCTGAATGAAACCCTATTTAAGCTTCGCTAATAGGGCTACAGTAAATTTAATCTTCGTGACAACATGCATAAAAGGTTGCTATTTATAAGTTTCTACCGCTTTTTAGTACACTGCTTATGCAATCCAGTTACCGTTATATTGATAGTACAAGATTTTTTCGGGATTTTCTTCGACGTAACTCAGTAAGTTATTTTGTTTTCTTTCTAAACGTTGTTTCTAGACAGTCATTAGTGTACGGAAAGTGACGAGGCGACTCTAAATGAACGGAAAATGTGTAATAATTAGTTAGTTAAGATCTAAGAACGCATAACTATAACGTGTTCCCCATGCATGCAATCATATAACACGGAAGACGAGGGCACCTTACGACTGTAACGGTAATAATGAAATTCATTTATATAAGTTCATTTATAGAAGCCCGATTCTTACTTCGGTAGTATTTTCACCGTAAAAAGGGAATATAGGCGTATGAGTGACATATGGGATTGTAAGAATTTATATGCCGCCTTGAATCGACGATATGGCAATTCATTTTTAACAAATCTATATTAAAACTGGGAATAAAAAGATAGAATGAAAAGAAAGCAGACCTGCACACACAGGAGCAGTACCAAATTAAGAACTTCATCGGGAGCTCGATTGAAGTATCTGGCTCAAAAAGCAGTACAAAATTACGTAACAAATCTCGGTAGTTATGAAAGAGCACATATACAAACAGAAGTATGACGACTAATGTTAAATTAACTTTTAATTGGTCAGACAACGAAGGGTCAATTAACGTGTACGACACGTAATAATCTTGATAATAGTCATTAGCATGTTTACGGCAACTGCACAATCAACGAAAAAAAATAAAATACATCCGACGTAACTGATACGATTTTTCAACTCGAGTTCAAATAAAAATATGCCTAATTCAATGATATTTTAGTTTCTATCTCCACGTGTATGAACTGAAGTTCCGGTGTAATTATGAGTTACATAAACCGAACCTTTCATCGATCCAACCATATATATGTTCCTATACTCGATTCGAGTTCTTAACTAGGATATATACGAGACCGTGATGGGTTAGCATAATATTTTGACAAGCTTACGAAATCCCAAAACCTATAATCTACACAGCATTATCGAGATATAACGAAATAGTTAACCAAAATCACAGCCACGAACAACTTTCTTTAAATTCAATACTCCAAAACACGAAAAAACGAACATACCTGAGAAAGCAAGCCAAATAGTTTAACGATTAAAATTTGGCCGACTTATTAGCATCGATGAGCTGCTCTCCTGCTTCACCAAAGATAGTAAGTATATATTGATCGAAAACATATTATAAACTCCAAATTCCAACTGTTACTTTCAGAATCATATCCAATAATATATCAATCACACGTAAATCAACCGTAGTAACTACTACATCAGTAACACAAGCATTAATATATCGATTCGCTTAGTTGAAAATACTCAGTAACGAACTTAACAAACTAAACGAAGGACGACCGCAAACGACCTCCACTTGGTTTGTTAAATTCATCACATACTTCTCAACATAAAAAACGAAAATCGTGTACACTAGTAAACGAGTGAGAAACACCACATTGCAAATAACTCTAAGAAAATTAGTTAACAGATCGAAAACACTTTTTTCAACAAATAAATACTAGGACAAATGGAAAAATGTTGACTTTAGTGTATTTACTATTTTACCCCCACACCCATTTTCTCTGCAAATCCTCCCCTGCTACGGAATTCTGAAACTTATGATTCTAGCTTGGATCTTTGATTCTTAACAATTTCTTCGCATTTGCTGAATAAGAAAGATATTTTTTTCGATAGCATAACACGAATTTACGAACAGAAAAACAATCCCACTCTATCAAATCTGCAGCGGGTGGGGGGGAGAACAAAATAGATTTTAATTAAATGTTTGTCAGGAATTCAAATCGAAATTGGGGATTGAGAAAAAGGAAAGGAAATGAAATGAGGGATGTGGTTAGGGTTAGAAAATCGGAACAAAATTTTCGCTATTTTTTTCGGTTTACAAAATTCCGGTTTCTGAATTTTATTTGTTTAATTGAAATTGGAAATTATATTACTGAAAATTCTAATTTACGAATATACTACTTTCACGAAAAAAAAATATTTTGTTGAAACGATGTAGCACTAAATTTTGTGAATAAATATGCTATAAACTATGATCGAATTGGGTTAGTCAGAATGTGCTACCATCAGCCTTACTTCAATAGCTCTGAGTTCGCGGTCGTAAGTTTTATAGCTCATTGGATCTCGTCGGAATCACCATTATAAATCCTGCAGCACCGCGACTTCCAAATTAGACTAATAATGTGTATATATTGTGTGTTGAAATGTAAAAATTATAAACCGAGTGAGAATTTGAGTGTACCTCTATTTATATATGTACTCTTTCTTTAACCGACAAACATCTTAAGGGTTTGTAACCTAATTATACGCAAGCACTGAAAAAGCAAATGGTTTCTTTCTCTTTTGAACTTTAACCTCGTTAAGGACGTGTTACGAACTAATTAACGTTTGCATGTATGTGCGTTTATATATATTAGCGAATCGGATTTCGAGATATTCATGCTTTAGAGTCGTAACCGAATTATTTCTACAATCCTCACTTCCTTGTACATCATTTGTCATTCTCATAGTTTACATGAACCTTATACAACTCGAACATAGTTTTGGTTCGAGTAAAATTATTAAAATTGTCTTTTTTTATTTTTTGCATTATTCTTCAACTTTTTTACATTCGTCACCATACCGTCAAATCTATAGGGTTTTTTATTTTTAAAAGAACAACAAATCTAGCACGGTGTTGTGGCATTTCTTAATTGCAACGAGATTCAGAAGTTAATAACTGTCGGAGTTATTGGAACATGACGGATTTTTTCGACCGATAACATGTTGCATTTATTAATTTATTTGTTTCCAATCTTTAAGTTTAAACAAAATAGTAATTAATACGTATAACCAATGATGATGCGTAACAGATTTACGATTTACCCTAGCCAAAACCACGTGGCTGCGTGTCCCTAATGATCACGAAATCAGCTTTTCGACATAAATGGTAAATTTAACGAACAACGTAAATACCGACCAACGGTTTATAATTTAGGCGGCAAAATTATTTACCCTAATAATGAGTAGTTATTCCAACGGTCATTTATTTACCCTAATGTCTTCATGATTGTGACATCATAATTAAATGAAATTAAAAAAAATCTGATCCTGCTAAGTTATTTTGACTACAAAATCAATATCTAATGCCTTACTATCAAAACTCAAATCTGAGTCTGTAATTTGATTTTAAATTATAAAATAAATTCGTTTGAATTTTATATAGAAAGTAAATACAGTGAATATATGAATTCATGATTCATGAGTCTGAATAGAATTGAAGGATAATCTAGGTCTTGGATTACAACTCAAGAATAATGAAAATCTTGTTTATGGATTTATTAATTAATATTTTTCTATTTCATAGTGCACAATTTTCTAAAATGGATTAATCATAATTAATGGATTTTCTTTTCTTATTCTAAGTTTTGCATCTTAATTTAAACGTATTTAAATAATAAGTACATGAATCAGCATTATAAAAAAAAAATTTATAAGCATACGTTTATATAACATATAATTTAATCCAATTGCTATCCAACCAAAATTGGGAAATTTTTAAATTGTATTGCTAAATGTTTAATAAAATTCTTTTAAAAAAAAAAGAATAAAAAGAATATTCCATTTCAGTATTTGAGTAAGTAAATCACTAAATCCGGAATACAGATTTCAAGAATTGAAATCCAATTTACATAATCCAAAAATTACAGGAATAAGATTAAACCTCAACCCTCATTTCACTGTCTATATAAACTCACTAATCCATTTCATTTCACTCATCATCTAAAAAAACACATTCTGCAGTAAAAAAAAAGAAAAAATCTGCATTCTTGAAAAGAAATGGCCAATGACAATGCATTGAAAGTGGAAATGCTAGTCATGTACAAAAAGTGTATGCACAACCATGCAGCCTCCACCAGAGGATTCCTCCTCGACGGCTGCGGCCTCTTCGAGGCCCCTAGCGGCACCACCGCCGGGTCCCGCGAGGCCATGTTTTGTGCCGTCTGCGGCTGCCACCGCAACTTCCACCAGAGAGTCGCGGTGGAAATTCCACAACACTACGGCTCCTCCCCCTCCTCCTCCGCCTCGCACCCCCACCAACAACAACAGCCCGCCTCCTACCCCCACCACCAACAACAGCCCGCCTCCCACCCCCACCACCACCACCGTGGTGGCAGAGGCACCATGATCATTCGCCGCGAACCGGCCTCTGCACAGGGCCGCTTCGCTCCCGAGCAGGCGGCGGCTCGTCGGCAGACGCCGGCAGCGAGCCCGGCCCTGACCACCTCTCCGGCCACCAGACGCGTACAGAGCCGAGCCCCACATCGACATGCGGCGGGCACCTCTGCACGACAGGGAGTGCCACCTCAGCATGGGGTGCGTGCTACGCGCGCAACGAGAATAACGAGGGCCCAAAGCGAAATGGTGAGGGCCTTGACTGAGAGGAACAACTGGAAAAAGTTCCGGGAGTACTCTCAGGCCGAGGTTTTACGTATTTGTTCCGATTTCGGAATAACTACACTGGCGCTCAAAAACTGCATCTCTTCTCTACACAGGCGAAAAAGAAAAGCTGCCATAGCAGCAATAGATCAACACTAGGGTTTTCGTTTTAGTTTTTTTTCTCAGTTCCTAGGTTTAAAGGGAACTAGAGTTTGTCGTGTAATAGATGCATTGTATGTACTGAGATGTATACATCTCTGATTTACAATCCGTCTTTTTTTCTATTCAAGTAAGAGCTTAGGGTCTTAACTTATTCATTCAACTGAAATTAGATCTTGTCGTTTATATCGTTGGAAAAGTTGCAGAATCCGTTGCAAACGGACATTAACTAAGGTAGGACTAAACGGAAAGTACTTGTTGAGTAGTTATCCTACGAACTCTCTAACTCCTATAAACGGCAAGGCCGTTAGTTTCTTGCCATTTAAGGTAATAACTAAATTGATTGAATATTTGCAGACAAAATTTTAGTGTCTTTTAACTCCGACGAAACCCATTATTTCTTTGTGCATATGTCGAACTCTGAATAAAACCCTATTTTAGCTTTGCTGATAGGGCAACAGTAAATTTAAGCTTCGAGACAACACGCATAAAAGGTTGGTATTTATAAGTTTCTGCCGCTTTTTAATACACTGCTTATTCGTGTGCTTACCGTTACATTAACCGTACAAGATTTTTTCGGGATTTTCTTCGACATAACTCATCAGTAAGTTATTATGTTTTATTTTCTAAAAGTAATTGTCTCTAGGCAGTCATTAATGTAGTGTACGGAAATTGACGAGGCGACTCTAAATGACCGGAAAATGTGTAACAATTAATCAGTTAGCTAAGATCTAAGACCGCATAATTTATAACCTTTTCCCCATGCATGCAATCATATAACACGGAAGATAAGGCACCTTACGACTGTAATTGTAATAATGAAATTCATTTATATAAGTTAATCTAAAACTGGGAATAAAAGATAGAACGAAAAGAAAGCAGACCTGCACAAACGGGAGCAGTACCAAATTAAGAACTTCATCGGGAGCTCGCCTAAAGCATCTGGCTCAAGAAGCTGTACAAAATTACGTAACAAAATCTCGTAGATATGAAAGAGCAGATATAGAAACCGATAGAAGTATGACGACTAAGGTTAAATTAACTTTTAATTGGATAAGAGTACGAAGGGTCAATTAGCATATTTACGGCAACTGCACAATCAACAAAAATTTAATCGTGTTGAGAAGATTAAAAAATCTTGGTATGAGCAAATTGATCGGATGCAAAGGCGATTAAAAATTAAATTTGTATCCCTGTTCGTTTCATATAAAAATCATCGATAGATTTCAATTTAAGCTCTCCCTTCGTTATAGATAGTTCCAGCCAACAAAATCTAAATATAGATACGACAAGATCGCCAACATAGAAATTTCGGGAAAAAAAAAATATCCGACGTACCTGATACGATTTTTCAACTCGAGTTCAAATAAAAATACGCCTAATTCAATGATATTTTAGTTTCTATCTCCACGTGTATGAACTGAAGTTCCGGTGTAAGAATTAAGTTTATCTAACTTTTTCATTTGAAGCCAAATAATTACGAGTTGCATAAAAAACCGAACTTTCGTCGATCCAGCAACATGTTCCTCCTAAATTCGATTCCAGTTCTTAACTAGGCTTTATACAAGACTGTTATAGGTGAGCATAATTTGCCATAATAATAATAAAAACCTCAATCAAACACAAAGAAAACCATCAATATTTTCATTTTTATTTTCCTTTTTCATACAAACATAATTAAGTATATATATTAATAATAAATAAATTATAAGGAAAAGGAAATACAAAAGGAAAAGGAAAGAGAAAATTACTTTTGGGGAAGGAAATTGTTCTTGGAGAGGCAGGACTGAATATTGCAAGCTTGTTTCTTACATGGCTCTTTACTCGGCTGCCCCATTTTACCAAACCCTAATCCTCTTTGCTCGGGTTTTGATCGTCGCCATTTGGATATCTTGGGCTTCTCATTCCACTGGGCGGAGACGACTTGCAAATTCCCGCACTCTCCACCACACACACGAGAATCCTTAGCAACCATCATCATGCGATAGGAGCTTGTCTTTTCTGGAAAAGCAGCATCCACATTAATCTTGATCGTCCCCATGGTGAAGGTTTCCAAACCGTTTCCTAGAGCTCAAATGTCTACTCCCCATGCAATATTTGGTTACGACGATCTCCGTCAGCATACAACCACTGCCACCAAGAACGATGCAACGGAAGTCGAAATCCTAGTCATGTACAAGAAGTGTATGCACAACCACGCAGCCTCCTACATACTCCAAGTCGTGTAATAAGAGGGCACGAAATATAGATAATCCCACATGCCCAACTCTACATTTAATATTTTTTAATTTCATGATTCAAAGTTTTTGTGTTCATTCCATATTCCTTAAATTGATTGAATTTAGATTTAACAAATAGCCAAACAATAGTTTGTTTTACAAACTTATATATCAATGTCATATACAATGCACAAATTCTGCACTAATGAACTTGGGCACAAAATTAGCACTAATGAACTTGGCACAATTCCTGCACTAAAGAAAAAAAAAAGACAGTCTTAAATGAATTACACATATTCTTATTCCTTGACAAATAAACCGATCAAATGCCATTTTTCTTACAAGAACCAAATATACTGAAGGGGGCAACTATTTTGAATACTAATTTTTGCTTAGTTGAATACTACCTAGTTGAAAACCACAATTGAGTACATATTTATAAGTTTTTTCTTACTTTAATACCAAAATAAAAATAAAAGTACAAAAATACCCTTTCATACAAAATACTAATTACATCAATTTTTCTTTGAAATTACCTACTTGAAAACCAAATAAAAAAAAAAAGAAAAAAGAAATTCAAACACAAAAAACCTCCCTCCGTCCACGCCGCCCGCCGCCGCCGCTCCAACCATCGCCGCCGCCGGACGCCGACGCCAAACACCGCCGAACGCCGCCCAACGCCGCCCAACGTCGCCCAAAGCCGCCGCCGTCGTCGTCTTCGAATAGTAAGTTATAGTTGTTTCGATTTTTTTTTCTTTAATATTTATTTAAGATTTGATTGTTTGATATGGGTAATTAGGATTTGGTTGTTTTAGGTTAGAATGATCGTTAATTAGTAATGAGTGCATCTGATTTCAGTCGATTTGAGCATTGATTTGAGATTCGTGGGTCGGTTCTTCGTTCACCATTTTCGACCTGTATATGTCGATTTTCGATGAATTTTCGACAGGTTGATGTCGAAAATTCATCCAAAATCGACATGTAGATGTCGAAAATGGTGAAATTGTTGTATCAGTTCAAATTCGACAGCTAGCTGTCGAATTTGAACTGTGAATTTTTTTTTTTTTTTTTTTTTTTTTTTCGACACTTAAGGGTATTTTCGACACATACACGTCGAAAAATAAGGGTATTTTCGACCTGTATGTGTCGAAAATACATGGCGAGTTTTAAAAAAAAAAAAATTTCAAAATCAATGTTTTAGCTCAAAAAATACATGAATACATACTTGAATGGGTTCTCCTTGCTCGTAAACTACTATTCTATTGTCATTTGAGGCCATTTTGCAAGTTGTGTAAGGTTTTGATTTCTTTTGTTTTGGGGTTTTTTAGGAGGGTTTTTGGGGAGGGAGAAGAAGGAGGTGGAGGAGGTGAGGGGTTTGGGAGTGAGGAGAGAAATGTTTTTTTTAGGTTTTTTATTATTTGGTTTTTAAGAAAGAAAAATAGTATTTGTAATATTTTTTTGGTTTTAATTTTCATTAAGGGTATTAAAGTAATTTACAATTAATTATTTAATTTCTATTTTTTTGGTATTCAACTAAGCAAAAGTTAGTATTCAAAATAGTTGTCCCCTATACTGAAAGCTCGCTAAAAAGGAAGTTTAATTTCTAGAGCTCGCTCAAATGTTTCATCATAAAGAAATCTAAAAGCACGATCAATTGCACGTAAAAATTGAATTGCGCTCTCAACACTCATTTCACTGTCAATATAAACTCACCACTCCATCTCATTTCATTTCACTCACCATCTAAAATACACATTATGCAGTAAAAAAAAAAACATTCTTGAAAGAGTGCATGTTGCACAACCATGCAGCCTCCAATGGAGGATCCCGCGAGGCCATGCTCTGTGCCGCCTGCGCGGGGGCTGCGACTACAAAGAGAATAACGAGGGCCCAAAGCGAAATGGTGAGGGCCTTGACTGAGAGGAACGACTGGAAAATGTTCCGGGAGTACTCTCAGCCTGAGGTTTTATGTATTTGTTCCGATTGCGGAATAACTACACTGGCGCTCAAAAACTGCATCTCTCTACACAGACGAAAAAGAAAAGCTGCAATAGATCAACACTAGGGTTTTCATTTTAGTTTTTCTTTTAGTTCATAGGTTTAAAGAGAACTAGTGTTTGTTGTAATAGATGTGTTGTATGTACTGAGATGATACCTCTCTTCATTTTCCTTGTCCAAAATTCAACTATACTAATTAAATTATGATAGAGCGAGCCGGCACTGCACTTATATTGCTCATATAACTAAAAACGAATTTCTTCAAACCATTCTAATACACTATTATAATTTAGTCTTTAAAATCAAAAAAAAAAAATCATTTAGGCCAAACATCTCTAGCATGTGAACCTAAGAAGTTGTTGGTTATAGAAACAAAATACATACCGATAAATAAAAAAAAAAAAAAAAAAAAAAAAAAGAGACCAAATAAAATAACTTCAATAGCTCCAAACTCACACCAAAAATGCACATAACAAGATATACTATATGCACAAATTCTGCACCGATCATAAAATACAATTTTTTTCAGCTACTCTTGCTCAACTTTTATGAGAAGACCAAGAAATGAATTGCGCAAAAAGTGGTAAAAAAAATGCACTAACCTTGTCATACGAACCTAACTCATTCCCTTTCGTTATCATCTTCTTCTGCTCTTGAAATGACTACCAATAACGTACAACAATAACCAAAGAAAGTTCTCCTGCACGTAAGAAGAGGATAACGAGGGCATAAAGTAAAACGGTGAGGGCTCTGTCTGAGAGGAACGACCGGAAGATGTTCCGGGAGTACTCTCAGGCGGAAGTTTTACGTATTTGTTCCGATTTCGGAATAACTAAACTGGCGCTAAAAAATTGCACTCTCAACACAGGCGAAAAAGAACAGCTGCAATAGATCAACAATAGGGTTTTCGGGGTTTTTTTTCTTTGTTTTTTTTCAGTTCCTAGGTTTAAAGGGAAGCTAGCGAAATTAAGATAGAGCGGGCAGTGCACTAATATTGCACATTGCGCTAATATTGCACAGTATAACTAAAAACATATTACTTCTACCATTATTACAATTCCGTCTTGGGACTATTCACAATCAAGAAACGAAATCATTCGTACCAAACACCACTATCTAGCAGCTTGTTAACCTAGACAGACTACAAGTGTTGTACAAGCAAAATATGACGATCACTACCAATTAAAAACTAATTCAAATTATCTTGGTTACTCTGTTTGGAGTTAATATTATCACAGCTTCGTTCACCTAGAATTCCCAAATCGAACTTCCAATTTATTTACTCTCGACATTTCTATTTACGCAGCCACATGCTAGGTTATTCTATATCAGTATCTCTAACAGAGGAGTTACCAAAATCATACGCCAATGAATCATTTCCTAAGATTGTTTATTCACAAATAATAAGTTAATCTTACAACATAACCAATCTAACAAAGTCGGGAGAATATCAAGAAGACGTACCGATAGATCATCAAATTCGTTCAAGAAAAGGCAAACGTGTGGTAATTTTTACTACGGAATTTCTTGTTGCTAGCTGCTTCAAAGGATTTGATGTAGGCATGATTTGAATGCTAAGAAGATAAAGGCAAGCACTGGAAAACCTAGAATAAGTAATAGTTACTACAATACGAACTAATAAATGTTTGCATGTATGTACGTTTATCTATATTAGCGAATCAGATTTCGAGATATTCATGCTTTAGAGACGTACCCGAGTTATTTCTACATTCCTCACTTCCTTGTACATCCTTTATCATTCTCATCAACAATGCCAAAAACCAATTATTCATTGGTATCGACTTTGAATATCTGCATATCGTAAATCATATATTTACACCAAATGAATGAGAAAATTCAAATATACAATCTTAGTATGTTTAGTACAGAGGATCAAGAACTTACTTATCTTACATTCTGCCAACAGCTGTAAAATGAAATATTGTTAAACGAGGCAAAAAGACAGTTAAATAGAACAAAAGGTGAAACGAAAATGGATATTATATTATAAATGTAATAGTTAGCAAAAAAGAAAAAAAAATTGAAAATTAAAAATCGAATCGATAATTGGAATCTCGTATATAATCCAATTCCTACAAAAACAAATACAAATTTTGCAAACAAAAAAAATCAAAATGAAAAATATTGTTCTAAAATAAAAATATTAAAATTTAATATACGTGGATCGAATTAGAGGAAAATTTAAAAGTTCGTTATAATCTTCATCCTCATTTAAACATCTCTTTAACTACTATAATTGTATTGCTCAAAAAAACATTATTCTTAATTGCAATAAGGTTCGGAAGTTAAGAACGGTCGGAGTTATTCAAAGATGACGGATTTTTTCGACCGATAACATGTTGCATTTATTTATTTGTTTCCAATCTTTAAGGTTAAACTAAATAGTAATTAATACGTATAATCAATGATGATGCTTAACGGATTTACGATTTACACTAGCCAAAACCACGTGGCTGCGTGTCCCTAGTGATCATGAGAGCTTTTCGACATAAATGGTAAATTTAACGAACAACGTAAATACCGACCAACGGTTTATAGTTTAGGCGGCAAAATATTATTTACCCTAATAAGGGTTTGTCATTCCAACGGTCATTTATTTCTTGTTTTCACGATAACGAACAATATCTTAATCAGTCGACATTTACCTACAAATATTTACAATAAGAAGTAAAAAAATGAGTAAAATTGCATGAGAAAACATTTACCCACAAATATTATATTTGACTGTTATTAAGTCAAAATCATAGATTACTGACTTACTGTAATACAAAATGTTATAATGTTTTCATGATTGTGACGTCATAATTAAATGAAATTAATAAAATCTGATCCTGTAAAGTTATTTTTGACTGCAAAATCAATATTTATGCCTTACTATTCATAACTCAAAATCTGAGTCTTAAATATGATTTTAAATTATAAAATATATTCGTTTGAATTTTATATAGAAAGTAAATAGAGTGAATACATATATATTATGATCCTGAATAGAATTTAATAAAAGTCTATGTTATGGATTACAACTCCAGAATAATGAAAATTTTGTTTATGGATTTATTAATTTTACTATTTTCTGAAGATTAATCATAATTAATGGATTTTTCTTTTCTTATTCTAAGTTTTGCATCTTAATATAAATGTAATTAAATAATAAGCACATGAGTTTACTCTATGCTACATATAATTTAATCCAGGTGCAATCCAACCAAATTTGGGAAAATTTTAAATTGGATTGTTAAATGTTTAATAAAATTACTTTTAAGAAAAAGAAAAAGAAACAGAAAATCCCATTTCAGTATTTAAGTAAGTAAATCACTAAATCTGGAATACAGATATCAAGAATTGAAATCCAATGTACATAATCCAAAAAATAGAGGAATAAGATTACACCTCAACCCTCATTTCACTCTCTATATAAACTCACCACTACAATGTTTCATTTCACTCACCGTGAAAAGAACACACTCTGCAGTCAGCAAAAAAAAAAAGAAAAAAAGAAAAAAAGAAAGAAAATTCTGCATTCTTGAAAAGAAATGGCCAATGACAATGCAGTGAAAGTGGAAATGCTAGTCATGTACAAAGAGTGTATGCACAACCATGCAGCCTCCACCAGAGGATTCCTCCTCGATGGCTGCGGCCTCTTCGAGACCCCTAGCGGCACCACCACCGGGTCCCGCGAGGCCATGTTCTGTGCTGTCTGCGGCTGCCACCGCAACTTCCACCAGAGAGTCGCAGTTGAAATTCCGCAACACCACCGCTCCTCCTCCATCCGCCACCACCACCACCAACAACAGCCCGCCTCGCACCCCGACCAACAACAACAACAACAACAGCCCGCCTCGCACCCCGACCAACAACAACAGCCCGCTTTGCACCCACACCAACCACAACAGCCAGCCTCGCACCCCGACCAACAACAACAGCCCGCCTTGCATCCCCACCAACCGCAACAGCCCGCCTAGCACCACCACCACCACCGTTTTGGTGGAGGCAGCGGCAGAGGCACCATGATCATTCGCCGCGAACCAGCCTCTGCACCAGGCCGCTTCGCTCCCGAGCAGGCGGCGGCTCGTCGGCAGAGGCGGGCCCTACCTCGACATACGGAGGGCACTTCTGCTGCACCACAGGAAGTGCCACTTCAGCATGGGGTGGGTGCCCCCCGCAGAAAGAGAATAACGAGGGCCCAAAGCGAAATGGTGAGGGCCTTGACTGAGAGGAACAACAGGAAAATGTTCCGGGAGTACTCTCAGACTGAGGTTTTACATATCCGATTTCGGAATCACTACACTGGCGCTCAAAAACGGCATCTCTCTACAAAGACGAAAAAGAAAAGCTGCAATAGCTGCAATAGATCAACACTAGGGTTTCCGTTTTAGTTTTTTTTTTTTCGGTTCCTAGGTTTAAAGGGAACTAGAATTTGTCGTGTAATAGATGCATTGTATGTACTGAGATATATAGATCTCTGATTTACAATTCGTTTTTTTTTTTTTTTTTTTTTATTGAAGTAAGAGCATTGGATCTTAACTTATTCATTCAACTGAAATTAGATCTTGTCGTTTATATCGTTGGAAAAGTTGTAAAATCCGTTGCAAACGGACATAAAATTAAGGTAGGACTAAACGGAAAGTACTTGTAGAGTAGTTATCCTACGTACTCTCTAATTCCTATAAACGGCAAGGCCATTAGTTTCTTGCCACTTATGGTAATAACTAAATTGATTGAATATTTGCAGACAAAATTTTCGTGTCTTTTAAGTTCGACGATACCCATTATTTCTTTGTGCATATGTCGAACTGAATAAAACCCTATTTGAGCTTTGCTGATAGGGCAACAGTAAATTTAAGCTTCGTGACAACACGCATAAAAGGTTGGTATTTATAAAAGCTTTGCTCATTCGTGTGCTTACCGTTACATTAACCGTACAAGATTTTTTCGGGATTTTCTTCGACATAACTCATCAGTAAGTTATTTTGTTTTCTTTCTAATAGTTGTCTCTAGGCCGTCATTAACGTAGTGTTCGGAAATTGACGAGACGACTCTAAATGACCGGAAAATGTGTAATATTCACTTAGCTAAGATCTAAGACCGCATAATTTATAACGTGTTCGGGAGATAACATGTTAATTAATATCCCCATGCTAGCAATCATATAACACGGAAGAAAGAAGAAAAAAATGCTGACTTGAATCGACGATATGGAAATTCACTTTTAACAAATCTATATTAAAACTGGGAATAAAAGATAGAACGATAAGAAAGCAAACCTGCACAAATGGGAGCAGTACCAAATTAAGAACTTCATCGGGAGCTCGCCTAAAGCATCTGGCTCAATAAGCAGTACAAAATTACGTAACAAAATCTCGTAGTTATGAAAGAGCATATATAGAAACCGATAGAAGTATGACGACTAAGGTTAAATTAACTTTTAATTGGTTAAGAGTACGAAGGTTCAATTTACGTGCACTACACGTAATAACCTTGATAACAGTCATTAGCATATTTACGGCAACTGCACAATCAATGAAAACTTAATCGTGTTGACAAGATTAAAACATCTTGGTATGAGCCAATTGATCGGATGCAAAGTCGATTAAAAAATGAATTTGTATCCCTGTTCGTTTCATATAAATCATCGATAGATTTCAATTTAAGCTCTCCCTTCGGTATAGATATTTCCAGCCAACAAAATCTAAATATAGATACGACGAGATCACCAACATAAGAATTAAGTTTATCTAACTTTTTCATTTGAAGCCAAATAATTACGAGTTGCATAAAAAACCGAACTTTCGTCGATCCAACAACATGTTCCTAAACTCGATTCCAGTTATTAACTAGGCTTTATACCAGACCGTAATAGGTGAGCATAATTTGCCATAATAATAATAAAAATGTCATAACAAAATTCAACATAAAACTCAGAGGGCATAGGTGGGACAATATCACAATATTTTTTTTTTCCTTTTTCACACAAAAATAATTAAGTATATATATTAATAATAATTAAATTAATAAAGAAAAGGAAATACGAAAGGAAAAGGAAAGAGAAAATTACTTCTTGGAGAGGCAAGCCCGAATATCGCAACCTTGTTTCTTACATGGCTCTTTACTCGGCTGTCCCAATTTACCAAACCCTAATCCTCAAAATTCCCCCCTTTTTGTTTCTCTTTCTTCACTACTTCCAGAATTGATCGGTGGCGTGCTACTGTTGAGAAAATGGCAGTCAAATCGAATCGTTGATGCTGGTTTTCTTTCAATTTCGTCGATTTCAGAATGATGAATTACAGAGATGATTGATCTGTGACTGTATGTATAATAGTAGTACAAAATTTATTTTATTTATAAAATTTTATAAGTAAATTATAAAATTTATTTATTTATTATTTTTTTAATAATTATTTAAATTAAGAGAGATATTGTTTTTGCAATTTAACGCTTAGATCAAGGGGCAACTAAAACAAATCCCAATTTTTTCTCACTTCAGTATCTCCAAGTTTAAAACCATTTTTTATAGAAGTTTTTACAACTTTTTCTTAGTTTAAAACCATAAATAAATAAAAAATGCTAGCAAAGTACAAAAATGCCCTTCATCAACCATAATACAATTTATACAAACAATTTTTTTATTCCTCACTTCAATACCAAGGAAAAAAAGAAAAACAAATCCTCTCTTCTTCTCCCCAAACTCAAATCCCTTAGAGCATCCACAATGGGCTCTTTAAATGTATTCTTTGTGTCAGATTTTAGCCAATCTTTAAATTTGGAGAGGAAAAGCTCCTGTAGTGGGAAACTTTATGCCTCTTCATAACTCCCCAAATCTTGAGAAATGCTAACTAACTCCCCACAGATAGGAGTGCATTAACAAACATTGCGGGGTCTGCTTTTGTTTTATTTATTTTTTATTATTCAAATTATTATCTTTTTTGCTTTTCTTTTTGTTTTTATTTCACGGTATGTACATTAAGGAAATAATGTACTATTTAATAATTGTTTAAATAAAAATTACTAATTACTTCCATTTATTTATACTTAATTAGCCTTATTGTAATAAAAAAACAATTAACTCGTAAATTTAATTTTTTTTTATTATTTTCATGAATAGATAATTTTATCATTTCTAAAATAGTATTCATCAAATTAATAATCTTATTTCAACTCATTTGTATTTTTTTGGCTAATTAATATTTATGTTATTCGTAAATTTTTTGAATCTTTTAAATATTATTTATATATTTATAGAATTAAAAAAATAAATATAATTCATAATTAAAAATATATAAATATAATTTCATAATTATATTTTACTAATTAAATATATTTTACTAATTAAATATAAAAAATTAAAAATATAATTTCATAATTATTATATTATAATGATTTTTTTTTATTAATATTTAATATTTAGGAAGCCATTGTAAGGATGCACAAAACCACCTATTGGAGCATTTTGAAATTTGGGGAGTTCTTAAGTGGGGTCCATAGTTTAGAGAGGAGTAAAAATGCATAGGTGGCATGTGGGGTCCACAGGTTAGGGAGGGATTGTAGGGAGTACCGCTGTGGATGCTCTTAAACCCTATCTTCTTCATCTTCTTAAATCCTCCAAAACATCTCCAAATTCAAAAAATCAAAACCTCACAAAACTTATAAAATGGAGTTATAAGACAATAATATGGTAGTATGTATGGAAAGAGAACCCATTAAGGTAAGTATCGATGTTTTTTTTGAGCCTCGAAGTCGATTTGGAATTTTTTTTTGACCCCGTCGGCAATTTTCGACACATACAGGTCGATTTTTTTGTCAATTTTCGACACCAACGTGTCGAAAAAAAATAAAAAAAAAAAAAAACACAAATTTCGACAGGTATGTGTCGAAAAAATACTGTTGGTAAACAATAATTTTTTTTTTTTACCAATAGTGTTTTTCGACACTTGCCTGTCGAAATTGGGAGAATTTTCAACATGTATGTGTCGAAATTTGTTTTTTTTTTTTTTTGTTTTTTTTTCGACACGTTGGTGTCGAAAATTGACCAAATAATCGACATGTATGTGTCGAAAATTGCCGACGGGGTCAAAAAAAAAACTTCAAAATCGACTTCGAAGCTCAAAAAAGACATCGATACTTACCTTAATGTGTTCTCCTTTCATATATACTACCATATTATTGTCTTGTAACTCAATTTTATAATTTTTGTGAGGTTTTAATTTCTTTAGTTTTGAGATTTTTTAGAAGGGGTTTTGGGGGAGGGAGAAGAATGAGGTGGAGGAGGTGAGGGGTTTGTGAGTGAGGAGGGAAATGGTTTTTTAGGGTTTTTGATTATTTGGTATATAAGAAAGAAAAATAGTATTTGTAATATTTTTTTGATTTTAATTTTCATTAAGGGTATTAAAGTAATTTACAATTAATTATTTAATTTTTATTTTTTTATTATTCAAGTAAGCAAAAGTTGGGATTTGAAATAGTGATCCCCTTAGATCAAACGTCGAAGTACACATTGGGACAATTTTTCAAAGGGTTACCCCTCGTACTCTGCCTGAGAATCACTTTACTCCCTCGTACTCTCAATTTCATCGATTTACCCCATGTACTTGTACAATTTCTCAATACAGCCATTTCCTTCAACTTTTGACATTTTTTACTCTGACACCGTTTAGTCAACTCTGTAAATTACGAAATTGCCACTGCCTACAACGCGTCGTTTCTCCTCCGTTAATATTGTCATTTCTTCTTCTCCCACCACTTCCCCTTCCAAGATATCCCCAAATTGAACCCCTAACTTAGTAAAAATTAAGACCCTAAAATTGATCGATTCCACCCACTGCAAAAAAAAAAATATATGAATGTGTGAAACTTTCTCTTTTCTAATCTCGATAGTCAAAATCGAAAAAAATCAATATTTACGTCAATATTTTGACTCTTGACCAAATGGCGTCAGAGTCAAAATCGAAAAAAGTTGACGGAGAGGATTGTATTGAGAAATTGTACAAGTATAAGGGGGTAAATCGACGAAATTAAGAGTACAAGGGGGTAAAATGGTTCTTGGACATAGTACAATGAGTAAAGTGGAATTTACCATTTTTCAAATATATGAGGCAAATGATGCAATTAGGAGTAGAAATGGGTAAAGTGGAATTTACCCTATTAAAAATACTAACAATATAAATACCCATTACAATTTTCAATTATTTACTCGTTAATTGAAAATTAATAATATTTGATTTTTTTTATATTATAATATTACTGTGAATTGGTGAATAAATATTTTTATTCAAACTATGATCAATATATAGGTAAAAGTACAAACTTGATTCACATTACTAGTGACACTTTTTTTTTTTTTCCAACTTATTATTTGGGATGTGATCGTCGCCACTTGGATATCTTGGGCTTCTCGTTCCACCGGGCGGAGACGAACTGCAAATTCCCGAACTCTCCACCATACACACACGAGAATCTTTAGCAACCATCGTCATGCGATAGAAGCTTGTTTTTTCTAGAAAAAGTAGCATCCACATTAATCTCAATCGTCCCCATGGTGAAGGTTTCCAAACCGTTTCCTCAAGCTCAAATGTCTACTCCCCATACAATATCTGGTTACGACGATCCCATATCTGCCAGTATACCACCACTGCCACCAAGAACGATACAACAACAATTGATATCCTAATCATGAACAAGAAGTGCATGCACAACCACGTTGCATCCGACATAAGAGGGCAAGAAATATAGATAATAATCCCACATGCCCAACTCTACATTTAATATTCTTTGATTTCATGATTTAAAGTTTTGTGTTCATTCCATATTCGGTAAATTGATTGAATTCAGATCTAACAAACAACCAAACAATAGTTTTTTTTACAAAGTTATATATCAATGTCATATACAATGCACAAATTTTGCACTAATGAACTTGGACACAAAATTAGCACTAATAAACTTGGCACAAATCCTGTACTAAAGAAGAAGAAAAAAACAGTCTTAACTGAATTACAATATTATTATTCCTCAACAAATAAATCAATCAAATGCCATTTTTTCTCACAAGAACCACATATACTGAAAGCTCGCTAAAAAACAAGTCTAATTTCTAGAGCTCGCTCAAATGTTTCATCTTAAAGAAATCTAAAAGCACAATCAATTGCACGTAAAAATTGAAATTGCGCTCCCAACATTTATTTCACTGTCAATATAAACTCACCACTCCATCATTTCATTTCACTCACCATTTAAACTACACAGTCTGCAATCAAAAAAAGAAAAAAAAATGCATTTGTGAAAAGAAATGGCGACTGACAATGTATTGAAAGTGGAAGTGCTATACAAAGAGTGCATGCATCACAACCATGCAGCTGATCTCGCGAGGCCATGCTTTGTGCCGCCTGCAAGGGGTCGACCCGCGACTCGCGCAAAGAGAATAACGAGGGCCCAAAGCGAAATGGTCAGGGCCTTGAGTGAGAGGAATGACTGGAAAATGTTCTGGGAGTACTCTCAGGCTGAGGTTTTACGTATTTGTTCCGATTTCGGAATAACTAAACTGGCGCTAAAAAATTGCACTCTCAACACAGCCGGAAAAGAACACCTGCAATAGATCAACAATAGGGTTTTCGGGGTGTTTTCTCTTTGTGTTTTTTCAGTTCCTAGGTTTAAAGGGAAGCTAGCAAAATTAAGATAGAGCGGACAGTGCACTAATATTGCACATTGCGCTAATATTGCACAGTATAACTAAAAACATATTACTTCTACCATTCTAATTTACATTATTACAATTCCTTCTTCGGACTCTTCACAATCAAGAAACGAAATCATTCGTACCAAACACCACTATCTAGCAGCTTGTTAACCTAGACAGACTACAAGTGTTGTACAAGCAAAATATGACGATCACTACCAATTAAAAACTAATTCAAATTATCTTGGTTACTCTGTTTGGAGTTAATATTATCACAACTTCGTTCACCTAGAATTCCCAAATCGAACTTCCAATTTATTTACTCTCGACATTTCTAGGTTATTATATATCAGTATCTCTAACAAAGGAGTTACCAAAATCATACGCCAATGAATCATTTCCTAAGATTCTTTATACACAAATAATAAGTTAATCTTACAACATAACCAATCTAACAAAGTCAGGAGAATATCCTTTATCATTCTCATCAACAATGCCGAAAGCCAATTATTTATCGGTATCGACTTTGAATATCTGCATATCGTAAATCATATATTTACACCAAATGAATGAGAAAATTCAAGTATACAATCTTAGTATATTTAGTACAGAGGATCAAGAACTTACTTATCTTACATTCTGCCAACATCTGTAAAATGAAATATTGCTAAACGAGGCAAAATATTATTTATGAGGCAAAATATTATGTAGTACCCTAATAAAGATTTGTTATTCCAACGATCATTTATTTCTTATTTTCGTGATATTTGTAGGTAAATATTAAAATCATAAATTACTGTAAAACAAAATGTTAAAATGTCTTCATGATTGTGACGTCATAATTAAATGAAATTAATAAAATCTGATCCTGCAAAGTTATCTTTGACTGCAAAATCAATATTTATGCATTACTATCAAAACTCAAATCTGAGTCTGTAAAATAATTTTAAATTATAAAATATATTCGTTTGAATATTATATATAAAGTAAATAGAGTGAATGTATATATAATTATATATTGTGAGTCTAAGTATAATTTAATGAAAATCTATGTTATGGATTACAACTCGAGAATAATGAAAATCTTGATTATGGATTCATTAATTAATATTTTTCAATTTCATAATCCACTATTTTCTAAAATGGATTAACCATAATCCAAAATTTACAAAAATAAGATTACACCTCAACCCTCACTTCACTCTCTATATAAAGTCACCACTCTCCTTCATTTCATTTCATTCATCATCTAAAAAAACACATTCTGCAGTAAAAAAAAAGAAAAAATCTGCATTCTTGAAAAGAAATGGCCAATGACAATGCATTGAAAGTGGAAATGCTAGTCATATACAAAAAGTGTATGCACAACCATGCAGCCTCCACCAGAGGATTCCTCCTCGACGGCTGCGGCCTCTTCGAGGCCCCTAGCGGCACCACCGCCGGGTCCCGCGAGGCCATGTTCTGTGCCGTCTGCGGCTGCCACCGCAACTTCCACCAGAGAGTCGCGGTGGAAATTCCACAACACTACCACTCCTCCCGCTCCTCCTCCGCCTCGCAACTCCACCAACAACAACAGCCCGCCTCCCACCCCCACCACCACCACCGTGGTGGCAGAGGCAACATGATCATTTGCCGCGAACCGGCCTCTGCACAGGGCCGCTTCGCTCTCGAGTAGGCGGCGGCTCGTCGGCAGACGCCGGCAGCGAGCCCCGCCCTGACCACCTCTCCGGCCACCAGACATGTACAGAGCCGAGCCCCACATCGACATGCGTCGGGCACCTCTGCACGACAGGGAGTGCCACCTCAGCATGGGGTGCGTGCTACGCGCGCAAAGAGAATAACGAGGGCCCAAAGCGAAATGGTGAGGACCTTGACTGAGAGGAACAACTGGAAAATGTTCCGGGAGTACTCTCAGGCCGAGGTTTTACGTATTTGTTCCGATTTCGGAATAACTACACTGGCCCTCAAAAACTGCATCTCTTCTCTACACAGGCGAAGAAGAAAAGCTGCAATAGATCAACACCAGGGTTTTCGTTTTAGTTTTTTTTTTCGGTTCCTAGGTCCAAAGAGAACTAGTGTTTATTGTAATAGATGTAATCTGTGTACTGAGATGATACTTGTCTTTATCTTCCTTGTCCAAAATTCAACTACACTAATTAAATTATGATAGAGCGAGCCGACACTGCACTAATATTGCTCATATAACTAAAAACGAATTTCTTCAAACCATTCTAATGTAACCAGAAAAACAAAATCATTTGTGCCAAACATCTCTAGCATGTTAACCTAAGAAGTTGTTGGTTATAGAAACAAAATATATACCGATAAATGAAAATATAAGAAAAGAGACCAAATAAAATAACTTCAATAGCTCGAAACTCACACCAAGAATGCACATAACAAGATATTCTATATGCACAAATTCTGCACCGATCAACTTGACACAAAATCATCGCAGTTTTCTGTTTTTCTCATGATGCAAAACATACTATTTATTTTTTTCAGCTACTCTTGCTTAACTTTTATGAGAAGACCAAGAAATGAATTGCGCAAAAGGTGGTAAAAAAATGCACTAAGCTTGTCATACGAACCCAACTCATTCCCTTTCGTTATCATGATCTTCTACTCTTCAAATGACTACCAATAACGTACAATAATAACCTAAGACAGTTCTCCTGCACGTAAGAAAAGGATAATGAGGGCATAAAGTGAAATGGTGAGGGCTCTGTCTGAGAGGAACGGCTGGAAGATGTTTCGGGAGTACTCTCAGGCGGAGGTTTTACGTATTTGTTATGATTTTGGAATAACTAAAACAGTGCTCAAAAACTGCAGTTTTCAACACATGGCGAAAACGAGCAGCTGCAACGCTGTTGGCTGCTGAAAATCAACAGTACGGTTTTATCTTTAGATACATTAATTTTAAAATTGAATGGTTACTTCTTAAGTTTAAAGCATTGTTGTTTATACTGTTTATCATGACACAGATTTTTATATATCTTATCAGAACCATCTACCATTCTCTTCATTTTCATTGTCCAAAATTCACAAAATCAATATACAATTACCTAAACTAATTAAATGAGGATAGAGCGAGCGGCACTGCACTAATATTGCACATTGCACTAATATTGCACAGTATAACTAAAAACAGATTTCTTGTACCGTTCTACTTTAATTATCACAAGTTCGTTCACCTAGGATTTCCAAATCGAACTTCCAATTTATTTTTTTCTCGACATTTCTATTTACGCAGCCACGTGCTAGGTTATTCTATATCAGCATCTCCAGAGGAATTACGAAAACGATACGCTAATGAATCGGATCCTAAGATTGTTTATACACAAATAATAAGTTAATCTTACAACCAATCTAATAAGTTACTCCAATAAGGTGAATATTAAATTGATTACAAGACGGAATCGAAAGACATTACTATGGAGTTTCTTGTTGCTAACCGAAAACCTAGAATAAGTAATGGATACTATAATAAGATTAGGTTACGTTTACGTTAATAAGTTCTCTTACATTTCTAAAGGGTTTTTTCTTTCTTTCTTTTTTTGTAATGATCCGATACCCGTCAGCATACTAACACTGTCACCACGAATGATACAACGGAAGTCGAAATCCTAGTCATGTACAAGAAGTGTATGCACAAACACGCAGCATCCAACATGCTCCAAACCCTGTAATATGAGAGCAATAAATATAGATAATCACACATGCTCAACTCTACATTTAATATTTTTTTTATTTCATGTTTTAAAGTTTGTGTTTATTCTATCATCCTTAAATTGATTAAATTTAGATCTAACAAACAACCAAACAATAGTTTGTTTTACAAACTTATATATCAATGGAATATAGAATGAACAAATTCTGCACTAATGAACATGGGCACAAAATTAGCACATTTATGACTACAAAAAAGAAAAAAAAAAACAGTCTTAACTAAATAACACACACACACACACACATATATATCTATATCCCTCGACAAATAAACCGACCAAATGCCATTTTTCTTACAAGAACAAATATACCGAAGCTCGCTAAAAATGTTTCACCATAAAAAAATCTAAAAGCACGATCAATTGCATGTTCTAATTGCACAAAAAATGCACAAACTATGCACCAATCAACTTGACACAAAATCATCACAAGTTTCCGTTTGTACATTCTCATGATGCAAACATACTATTGTTTCAGCTACTCTTGCTCGAACTTAAATTAGAACACCAAAAAATAAATTGCGCAAAAGGTGGTCAACAATAACCCAAGACAATTCACCTGCACGTAAAAGATATTCTGTATGTACTGAGATGTATAAATCTCTGATTTTCAATTGTTTTTTTTTTATTGAAATTACACGAACGAATGAGATTACACGTAAAAAAATAAAACTGCACTCTCAACACTCATTTCACTGTCAATATAAACTCACCACTCCATCATTTCATTTCACTCACCATCTAAAAAAACACATTATGCAGTCAAAATAGAAAAAAAAAGAGTGCATGCACAACATGCAGCCCCTAACAGAGGATCCCGCGAGGCGGGGCTGCGGCCACAAAGAGAATAACGAGGGGCCAAAGCGAAATGGTCAAGGCCTTGACTGAGAGGAACAACTGGAAAATGTTCCGGGAGTACTCTCAGGCTGAGGTTTTACGTATTTGTTCCTATTTCGGAATAACTACACTGGTCCTCAAAAACTGCATCTCTCTACACAGGCGAAAAAGCAAAGCTGCAATAGATCAACACTAGGGTTTTCGTTTTCGTTTTTCTTTCAGTTCCTAGGGTTAAAGGGAACTAGTATTTGTTGTAATAGATGTATTGTATGTACTGAGATGTATACATCTCTAGGTACAATTAGTTATATATTCAATAGAAGAACCATAGATACTTCTCTTCATTTCCTTGTCCAAAATTCAACTACACTTGAGATTCACAAAATCAATATACAATTACCTATAGTAATTAAATTATGATAGAGCGAGCCGACAATGCACTAATATTGCGCATTGCGCTAATATTGCTTAATACAACTAAAAACATACTTCTTCCACCATTCTAATTTACACTATTATAATCCACTCTTCGAAATCAAGAAAAAAAATTATTTGTACCAAAAATCTCTAGCATGCTAACCTAAGAAGTTGTTGGTTATAGAAAAAAAATATATACCGATAAATGAAAATAAAATAAAAGAGACCAAATAAAATAACTTCAATCGCTCCAAACTCACACAAAAAATGCACATAACAAGATATTCTATATGCACAAATTCTGCAGCAATCAACTTGACACAAAATGATCACAGTTTTCTGTTTTTACATTCTCGTGATACTATTTTTTCAGCAACTCTTGCTCAACTTGTATGAGAAGACCAAGAAATGAATTGCGCAAAAGGTGATAAAGAAATGCACTAACCTTATCATAATTAATAACCCAACTCATTCCCTTTCTTTATCTTCTTCTCCAGCTCATTTCTTTCATTATTAATAAAAAAATGGCTACCAATAACGTACATCAATAACCTAAGACAGTTATCTTGCACGTAAGAAGAGTATAACGAGGGCACAAAGTGAAACGGTGAGGGCTCTGTCTGAGAGGAACAACTGGAATACGTTCCGGTGGTACTCTCAGGCAGAGGTTTTACGTATTTGTTTCAATTTCGGAATAACTACACTGGCACTCAAAAACTGCATCTCTCTACACAGCTGCAATAGATCAACAGTAGGGTTTCCGTTTTTCTTTTCCTTTTTTTTTTCAGTTCCTAGGTTTAAAGGGAAGCTAGCAAAATTAAGATATAGCGGGAAATGCACTAATATTGCACATTGCGCTAATATTGCACAGTTCAACTAATTTACATTATTACAATTCAGTCTTCAGACCCTTCACAATCAAGAAACGAAATCATTCGTACCAAACACCACTATCTAGCAGCTTGTTAACCTAGACTACAAGTGTTATACAAGCAAAATATGACAATCACTACCAATTAAATACTAATTCAAATTATCTTGGTTACTCTGTTTGGAGTTAATATTATCACAGCTTCGTTCACCTAGAATTCCCAAATCGATCTTCCAATTTGTTTTCTCTCGACATTTCTATTTACGCAACCACGTGCTAGGTTATTCTATATCAGTATCTCTAACAGAGGAGTTGCCAAAATCATACGCTAATGAATCATATCCTAAGATTGTTTTGTACACAAATAATAAGTTAATCTTACAAGCAATCTAACAAAGTCATGAGAATATCAAGAAGACGTACCTATAGATCATCAAATTCATTCAAGAAAAGGCAAATGTGTGGTAATTTTTACTACGGAATTTCTTGATGCTAGCTGCTACAAAGGATTCGATGTAGGCATTATTTTTTTTATTTTTTTTTTAGAGAGAGATGTAGGCATTATTTGAATGCTAAGAAGATATAGGCAAGAACTGGAAAACCTAGAATAAGTAATAATTACTACAATAAGTTTAGGTTACGTTTACGTTAATAAGTTCTCTTACATTTCTAAATGGTTTTTTTGTTTTTTCTTTTTTTTTTTCTTTTTTTTTTTTTTTTTGGGTTTTCTCTCTCTCTTTTTTGTAATTTAACCTCATTAAGGACATATTACGAACTAATAAACGTTTGCATGTATGTACGTTTATCTATATTAGCGAATCAGATTTTGAGATATTCATGCTTTAGAGTCGTACCCGGGTTATTTCTACATTCCTCACTTCCTAGTACATCCTCTGTCCTTCTCATCAACAATGCCGAAAACCAGTTATTCATCGGTATTGACTTTGAATATCTGCACACCGTAAATCATATACAATTACCAACTGAATGAGAAAATTCAAATGTACAATCTTAGTATGTATGTTTTAGTAGAGAGGATCAAGAACTTACTAATCTTACATTCTGCTAACAGCTGTAAAATGAAATATTGTTAAACGAGGCAAAAAGACAGTTAAATAGAACAAAAGGTGAAACGAAAAACGGATATTATATTATAAATGTAATAGTTAGCCAAAAAAATAAAATTGAAAATTAAAAATCGAATCAATAATTGAAATCTCGTATATATTCCAATTCCTACAAAAACAATACAAAATTTGAAAAAAAAAATCAAAATAAAAAATGAAAAATATTATTCCAAAATAAAAATATTAAAAATTAATATATGTGGTTCGAATTAGAGGAAAATCAAAAATTTCGTTCTAATTTGCATCCTCATTCACAAAATCTCTTTAACTATAATTGTATTGCACAAAAAAGCATTATTCTTAATTGCAATAAAGTTCGGAAGTTAAGAACGGTCGGAGTTATCGGAAGATGACGGATTTTTTCCGACCGATAACATGTTGCATTTATTTATTTGTTTCCAATTATCTTTAAGTTTAAACTAAATAGCAATTAATACGTATAACCAATGATGATGCGTAAAGGATTTACGATTTACCCTAGCCAAAACTACGTGGCTGCGTGTCCCTAATGATCACGAGAGCTTATCGACATAAATGGTAAATTTAACGAACAACGTAAATACCGACCAACGGTTCATAGTTTAGGAGGCAAAAATATTATTTACCCTAATAATGATTGTTATTCCAACGGTCATTTATTTCTTATTTTCGTGATAAGGAATAATATCTTAATCAGTCGATATTTACCTACAAATATTTACAGTAAGAAGTAAAAAATGAGTAAAATTGTATAAGAAAATATTTACCTACAAATATTATATTTGACTGATATTAAGTCAAAATCATAGATTACTGTAAAACAAAATGTTATGATGTCTTCATGATTGTGACGTCATAATTAAATGAAATTAATAAAATCTGATCCTGCAAAGTTATCTTTGACTGCAAAATCAATATTTATGCATTACTATTCAAAACTCAAATCTGAGTCTGTAATATGATTTTAAATTATAAAATACATTCGTTTGAATTTTATAAAGAAAGTAAATAGAGTGAACATATATATTACGAGTCTGAATAGAATTTAATGAAAATCTATTTTATGGATTAAACGTAATTAAATAATAAGTACATTAAAAAAACAAATTAAAAGCAAAAGTTTATATAACATATAATTTAATCCAACCAAAAATGGGAAAAACTTAAATTGTATTGCTAAATGTTTAATGAAAATATTTTTAATAAAAAGAAAAAGAAAAAGAAAATCCCATTTCAGTATTTCAGTAAGTAAATCACTAAATCTGGAATACAGATATCAAGAATTGAAATCCAATACAGGAATAAGACTACACCTCAACCCTCATTTCACTCTATATAAACTCACCACTCTCCTTCATTTCATTTCACTCACCATGGAAAAAACACACACTGCAGTCAAAAAGAAAAAAAAAAAGAAAAAAAAAGAAAAAAAAACATTCTGCATTCTTGAAAAGAAATGGCGACTGACAATGCATTGAAAGTGGAAATGCTAGTAATGTACAAAGAGTGCATACACAACCATGCAGCCTCCAACAGAGGATTTCTCCTCGACGGCTGCGGCCTCTTCGAGGGCCCTAGCGGCACCACCACCGGGTCCCGCGAGGCCATGCTCTGTGCTGTCTGCGGCTGCCACCGCAACTTCCACCAGAGAGTCGTAGTGGAAATTCCGCAACACCACCGCTCCTCCTCCATCCGCCACCAACAATAACAACAACAACAGCCTCGCACCCCGACCAACAACAACAGCCCACTTTGCACCCCCACCAACCACAACAGCCCGCCTCGCACCCCCACCAACCACAACAGCCTGCCTCGCACCACCAGGAGGCAGCGGCAGAGGCACCATGATCATTCGCCGCGAACCAGCCTCTGCACCAGGCCGCTTCGCTCCCGAGCAGGCGGCGGTTCGTCGGCAGAGGCGGGCCCCACATCGACATGCGGAGGGCACTTCTGCTGCACCACAGGGAGTGCCACCTCAACATGGGGTGCGTGCCCCCCGCAGAAAGAGAATAACGAGGGCCCAAAGCGAAATGGTGAGGGCCTTGACTGGGAGGAACGACTGGAAAATGTTCCGGGAGTACTCTCAGGCTGAGGTTTTACGTATTTGTTCCGATTTCGGAATAACTACACTGGCCCTAAAAAACTGCATCTCTCTACACAGGCGAAAAAGAAAAGCTGAAATAGATCAACACTAGGGTTTTCGTTTTAGTTTTTTTTTTCGGTTCCTAGGTTTAAAGGGAACTAGAGTTTCTTGTGTAATAGATGCATTGTATGTGCTGAGATGTATACATCTCTGATTTACAATTCGTCTTTTTTTTTTTTTTTTAATTGAAGTAAGAGCTTCGGATCTCAACTTATTCATCCAACTGAAATTAGATCTTATCGTTTATATCGTTGGAAAAGTTGTAGAATCCGTTGCTAACGAACATTAATTAAGGTAGGAGTAAAACGGAAAGTACTTGTAGAGTACTAGTTATCTTACGTACTCTCTAACTCCTATAGACGACCAGGCCCGTTAATTTCTTGCCATCTAAGGTATTAAATAAATCGATTAAATATTTGCAGACCAAATTTTAGTGCCTTTTAACTCCGACGACGCGACAACCATTATTTCTTTGTGCATATGTCGAACTCTGAATAAAACCCTATTTAAGCTTCACTGATAGGGCTTCAGTAAATTTAAGCTTCGTGAGAACATGTATAAAAGGTTGCTATTTATAAGTTTCTGCCGCTTTTTAGTACACTGCTTATTCGTGTGCTTACCAAATCTTATACTGCAATCAGTTACCGTTATATTGATCGTACAAGATTTTTTCGGAATTTTCTTTGACGCAACTCATCAGTAAGTTATTTTGTTTTCTTTCTAAAAGTTGTCTCTAGACAGTCATTAATGTAGTGTACGAAAATTGACGAGGCGACTCTAAATGACCGGAAAATGTGTAATAATCAGTTAGCTAAGATCTAAGACCGCATAATTTATAACGTGTTCTGGGAGATAACATGTCAATTAATATCCCCATGCATGCAATCATATAACACGGAAGATGAGGACACCTTACGACTGTAAGGGTTATAATTAAATTCATTTATATAACGCGTTCAACTTTTTGCAAAATAAACTAACAAAAGGTAAAGTCATTTATAGAAGCCGATTCTTACTTCGGTAGTATTTTCACCATACACAAGTTATATTGCCATTTAAAGAAAGAAAAAATGCTGACTTGAATCGACGATATGGAAATTCACTTTTAACAAATCTATATTAAAACTGGGAATAAAAGATAGAATGATAAGAAAGCAAACCTGCACAAACGGGAGCAGGACTGAATAACAACTTCATTAGGAGCTCGCCTGAAGTATCTAGCTCAAGAAGCAGTACAAAATGAACATGAAAATCTCGTAGTTATGAAAGAGCACATATAGAAACTGATATGAGTACGACGACTAATGTTAAATTAACTAATTAACTTTTAATTGGTTGGAGTAGGAAGAGTCAATTTACGTATACTACACGCATATTTATTCAACTGGCAGTATTATATCCATGTTCTTTGGCTTACAACAACCCAGCTTGTTTCACATAAATCATCAATGGATTTTAAGTTAATCACTCTCTTTAATATACATATTTCCAGCCAACAAATTCTATCTTAACATATATAAAGATTACCAACATATAAAACTCTAAAGAAAAACTTGTCCCAACAAAAATGCGTAAGGTTTTCTACTTGAATTCGAATACAAATATGTGTAATATAAAAATATATCTATAATCCTCCAGTTTTTGTATCAATCTCCACGTGTATGAACTTTAGTCAGGATGTGAGACTGAAATTTATTACGACTTCCTTTATAAGTTGAATTCACAGTATTATACTGCAGTCACCCTTATATTCATCGTATCAGATTTTCAAAATTTTCTTTCGACATAACTCAGTAAGTCATATTTACCGAGCTAGTACGACAACAAGGAGAATAAAATCGACGACCGCATAATTTATAACTGAATATGAATGCTTTTACGTGTTCTGGAAGATAATATATATATATATATATATATATATATATATATATATATATTAAAATATTCCCATGCATGCAATCATATAACACCAAAGACGAGGACACCACGTTTATGAGAAAGTTAAATATCCATGCTTTGGATTAGCGAAGAGATCAATTCGTTTGATGAGAAAAAATACATATAGAGGGTGATAGAAGTTGGATATCGACTAAGGTCAAACTAACTTTTAATCGGTCAGAGTACGAAGAGTCAATTTACGTGTACTACACGTAATAACCTTGATAATAGTCATTAGCATATTTACGGCAACTGCACAACCAACGAAAATTTAATCGTGTTAACAAGATTAAAGCATCTTGGTATGAGACAATTGATCGGATGCAAAGTCGATGAAAAATGTGTTTCAGTATAAATTAAAGTGAATTTGTATCCCTGTTTGTTTCATATAAATCATCGACAGATTTCAATTTAAGCTCTCCCTTCTGTACAGATATTTTCAGCCAACAAAATCTAAATATAGATACGACAAGATCACCAACATAGAAACTTCAGGAGAAAAAATAGTACCCAAAGTAACTGATGAGGTTTTTCGACTCGAGTTCAAATAAAAATATGCCTAATTCAATGATATTTTAGTTTCTATCTCCACGTGTATGAACTGAAGTTCCGGTGTAATTATGAGTTACATAAACCGAACCTTTCATCGATCCAACCATATATATGTTCCTATACTCGATTCCAGTTCTTAACTAGGATTTATACGAGACCGTGCTGGGTTAGCATAATATTTTGACAAGCTTCCGAAATCCCAAAACCTATAATCTACACAGCATTGTCGAGATCTAACGAAATAGTTAACCAAAATTACAGCCACAAACAACTTTCTTCACATTTGGAAATCATTAAATTACATACTCCAAAATTCGAAAAACACAACATACCTGCTCCAAATGGATGATCTAACAATTAATATTTGGCCGACTTATTAGCATCGATGAGCTGATCTCGTGCTTTACCAAAGATAATAAGTATATATTGATCGAAAAAAAATCTTCCAAATTCCACAAAAATCAACTGCATTAGTAAAATAAGCATTAATACAACGAATCGCTTAATTGGAAATACTTTGTAAATAACTTAACAAACTAAGTGGACGACGACCGCAAACGACCTCCACTTCGATTGTTAAATTCATCACATACTTCTCAACAGAAAAACGAAAATCACGTAAACTAGTAAACGAATGAGAAACTCCATTATGCAAATAATTCTACGAAAACTAGTTAACGGATCAAGAACACATTTTTCAACAAATAAATACTAGGACAAATGGAAAAATGTTGAGTTTTGTGTATTTACTCTTTTACCCCCACACCCATTTTCTCTACAAACACTCCTCTGCTACGGATTCTGAAACTTGTGATTCTAGCTGGGATATTGATTTTTAACAATTTGAGATAACATAACACGAATTTACGAACAGAGAAACAATCGCACTCGATCAAATCTGCAGCGGGTGGGGATAAAAACAAAATTGATTTTGAATCAGAGAGAGTTTTGTGGGGGGAGGGAGGATTTTGCAAGCAAATGCCCATTTCCTCTAATTCACAAGTTTAATTTCATGTTTGTTAGGAATTCAAAATTGAAATTGGGGATAGAAAAGAGGAAAATTAAATTAGGGGTGTGGGTAGGGTTAGAAATCGGAACGCAGGTCGATCAAAAATCGTGTTTTTATTAATTAATTTATTTTTTAATTTTTTGTTCTACTGGTATACACACACAAGCACACCAATTTCATGTTCAGAATCAGAATCATCAGAACCAAAGAAAACACACACACACACTCCACACTCACACACAGCAGCTCTGGAATATATATCTTCACATATGGGAAGTTGCGATTCAGTGCGCCGTTCCATCAGGAGCATCACCCAATATCATCCGATCATCTCCAAATGGTATGAAATTGAGTATACCATCTCCATATATGTATGTATCTGTATGTATACATTTGAAAATTTTGAGTAATTTGATGTTAATTAAGCAATCGAGATGGTCTTATTCTCTAACCGCCGTTAGATATCTACCTACGGTGAAATTAATCGAGCTGCATAGTTTGGGGAAACAATAATAATGGGTTCAATATATATATATATATATATATATATATATATATATATATATATATATATATATATATATATATATATATATATATATATATATATATATATATATATATATATATATGTGTGTGTGTGTGTGTGTGTGTGTGTGTGTGTGTTTGTGCATACATGGTGCAGTTTGCATAATGCAAACTGCACCATGTATGCACGCATATATCACACGTTAAGTGAATGCTTTACACTTGTCTGTCTCTCTCTTCTTTTCATCACATGTTTCTAAAACTGCATGCAATCGGTTTTGCTGTAGATCCTTAGTTCTTAATGGCTGACCGATCGGGTAAACCAAGAAAGAGGTCAAGGGAATGTCGATCTTCTTCTTCTTCTTCTTCTAAGGAGCTTCTAGTTATTGGAGATGCTGACAGACTGAGCAGATTACCTCAAGAAATTCAGAGCGATATCTTATGCTTACTCCCAATAACCGATGCAGCAAAAGTAGGCTTGTTGTCCAAAACATGGAGGAGCACATGGCTTTCTCTGCCTAAACTTGCTTTCGATTACCGCACATTTCCCGAAATGGAAAAGAAAGTAAAATTCATCGATCAAACGCTCGCTCGCCACAGCAAGTCCAGTGTTAAAACGTTTGAACTCCATCTCGTTCCTTTAATCAAGATTGCGTGGATGAAATTCGCCACACGGCATAATGTAGAAAAGCTCGTTCTTTATGGGGAGATAAAAAAGAATAAATACCTTCCCGATTGTATATTTACATGTCGGTCGCTTGTCAAATTGGATTTGGCTTTACATGGTCATGTCCTCACTTTCCCTGAAACTGTTTCACTCCCTAACCTTCGAAAGCTAAAGCTTAAACACTTAGTGCTGTACGAGCCAGAGTTGAGCCAAGATCCGTTCTCGATATTTCCTGCACTAGAGAAGTTATCGATTTTCCACTGCACTATTCACTACACCGAAATCTTGTCCGTTTCTTCTTTGAGGTTAATACATTTCACAATGGGTAGCTGTCTCAGGAATCAAAGCTGCTCGGTCAGGCTTCGAGCGCCATCTCTTTCTAAATTCATATATATCAGTGATGATTTAGAACCTCCAGTTGAGTTAGAAATCCCTCCACATGCATTTCAATTGGTTATTAACAGTGAAAATGCTTACACGAGGAGTAATAGCACTTACGACGTGGGTCGATCAGTAATCAAAGCCACTCGGGACCTTCTCAAGTGTAAAGCTGTTGAACTAAGCCATTGGTTCATTGAGGTAAAGTTTGTTGTATGTGCAAAAAAATCATGCATCATAAATCTTGTTCTTTTGCACTGTCATAAATCTTTTTTTTTCTTACAGTATCTTTACATGGCTCGTGATCTGTGGAGGCAGACGCCTTTTGCTCTGCTCCATGACTTGGTGATTTTGGACACGAGTTTATGGCCGACAAACGAGCACATTAAAACGTTGATGGTGCTCCTTTCGAGATGCCCAAACCTCACTAAACTCTCTGTTAGAATTGCGGTAAAAAAAAGCTTATCCTTTTACATCTGATATGAATTTGTGATAGCAGTTTGTTGTTTTAGTTTTGAAGCGCGTTTTTTTTCTTCTTCTTTTCTTTTGACAGCCTTCACAAAGAGAAGCTCTTCAGTTGCCCAATGTGGAATTTTTAGTAGATTTTGATACTGGGGTTGATTTCCGTTGCTTGGACGACGTTTGTATCAAGAATTTTGGAGGAGAAGCGATCGAGAGGATGCTTGTGAGGTATTTGCTTGCTAATTCAAGTGACTTAACTTTGATGACGATTTTCATGAACGATGTTATGGCAAATGGCATGCTTTCGAAGATATCCGAGATTCTTGGATATGAGAAATCCTCCCCATATGCTGATGTCATATTCAACTAGTTTAATCTATGCATTGCGCGTAAGTCCCTTTCTCTCTCTATCTGATATGCACACAGATGCGACAACGTATGCACACAGAATGCGCACACACATACACATATATGCACATAGACGCGCACGCACACACACACACGACATTAGCTGAATCTTTCAGCGACACTTTCCTTCTCAGTTTTTGCTTTGTACTTTTGTTATGCTAGCGCAGAACGAGAGCAGCAGAAGAAATGAAGCAAGATTTTTCAAGAGAAGGCTTTTATTCGTATTCTTGAGCTAAATGCACGGACCAATCGCGTCTCCGCATGCAGTTTTATTTTGTCGCAACAGTCGAATTAGTTAGTCAGGGTTGAGTGAAATAGGTTTAATAGGGTTGTCGACGGAAGTACAAGCAAGATTTCGGTTAGTAAAAGCTATATGTTCTTTCCTTCTTGTGTTGTAGAAACCCGAGGGTTGTCGGTAATACGCATGTATTGATTTTGATATAACTCCTTCAGTTAAATCTCCTTAACTAAAGTAATTTGATTCATTGTTGATTCCTTAATAGATGCCGCATTCAGGGTGTGCTCGAATTGTGCATCTTAATATATATCTACCAATACGTACGAGTAAGTGTAAATGTGTAGTGAGACATGTACTCGGTGCACGTAATCGTCGGAAGTAGCATGTTCTCGGAGCCTTTGGTAAGTATTAACTTCTTTTTTCATGAAAAATGGCAAGATTTCATTTTCATTTCGTAATTTCCAGGAGAAAAAAGAACAAAGAGTCCGTTTTTGCCATTTTTGAAAATTCATATCAATTCATAGAAAACTCATATGAGGATTCCGTAGTTTGGGTTGTCCCCAAAATCACGAGATCCACGAGAATTAGGGTTTAATTCGTTATTGATTTTTTTGGTAAACTTTCATTTTTTTCCTAGTTTAATTAGATTTTCGAGTTTTATTACGACTTTATTTCTTTTCAGCATTGTGAATACGTCCATAATAGCTATGATTTAACGGAGTATCAAATTTAATACAATTTTCGAAGCTTTTTCTCTCATTTTTTGTGGATTTCGAATGTTTTATTCTACATGATTAGTCCGATGTAATTAATTATTTCATACACCTACGGTCTCTAAATCGGAAAAACGAACTCTTATCTCAAGCAAAACCTATAAATCATATCACATTTCGGCGATTTGACACCGTTCAGAAACCAAAAATTCTGATTTTGCTCTTTTAAGAAAATTTTAGAAAATTCATATCAGTTCATATAAGATCCAGATAAATATTTTGTAAGAAAAACAAGTAAAATTTTAAAATTATTCATATCAATGGGATCCGGGGTAAAGGAAAATTATTTCGGAGTAGGGTAAGAATACTTGAGTTTTGTTGAAAGTTTAATGTGGTCAAAATTCATTCATTTGGGGCACCAACATTAGACACACAATGTTGTCACGAGTGATTCGGTTCCCGTTTCGATTTTCAATTTTCGATTTTCGATTTTTGATTTTGGTATTCGGTTTCGGAGTTTGATTTAAGAAATATTCAAATTGATTCAGATGTTGTAATCAAATATACTGAACATCGTACAATTTAAGTAAACTATCCAAATATTTTATTTATTTATTTAAACAAACGACAAAAGTTTAGTTTGGTTTCGACAAAAGTTAAATGTGATAAAAAATTCATTGATTTGTGCAAAAAGGAAAAAAAAACCCCAAATTGTTTAATCCCTTAAGTAAAATATGAGGTAAATAGCACTTAATCCCGCTATAGTTTGAGCTTTATGCAGATGATCCCTCTATACTTTTAATATAACCACAAGACCTCCTGTAGTTTGAACTTTGTTCACATAACCCCTTTTACTTTTTAATATAAGCACATCATAAATTCATAACCCTCTATAATATTTTACTTGGTAAATAATCATGCTCATTAGAAGTACGTGATTGTATAAAAATTACAAGGGAGTCATGTGTCATATTAAAAGTATAAGGGAGTTGTGCGCAACAAATTCAAACTATAAGGGGTTAACTGCTATTTTGCCCTAAAACATGAGATGAAGAAGTCTTTTATTCTGTAACTTTTAATTTTTAGAGAGAGAAAGTTTGAAAACAAAAGCAAATTCTCGCCAAACAGAGTTTCTTAGAAAAACCAGAGACGTAATCAGAAGATCAAAGTGACCCCAGCTATAAAACATTCTTCCGATTTCCGCAAAACCCCAATATCACACTAACAGCGAACAACAAATTTATCGATTGATTTTTTTTTTTTTTTTAATTTATTTCAATGGATACAACAAGCATAAGGGATTTAACGGTCGATTTCGCAATTAAATTGAAGCAATCATCCCTGCTGTGGCTGGAGGGTTTCAGAGAAGCTTGCTGCCTTCACCGCGTCGTCATATATTGTCTCAGGTACTCAGAATTAACCTTTGATTTCTCTGATTCTTCGATTGATTACGTTTTTGTCTGAACTGAGGTTGACTCATTTTTTTTTTTTTTTTTTTTTTTTTTTTATTTACTGTTTGTTTGTTTATTTGGGGGTTTAGGTCAAGAGAGCTTGCAATCCGCACTGGGCAGTGTTTTCTGTTGAATGGCTTCATTTTTTTGGGAAGGTTTGTTCCCTATGCTTGATACACATACATACATACACATATTTGTATATGTTTTTTTTTTTAATGTTGTGTTTGCTTTATATCCCCGATGAGAAGGAGGACTGTTTTGAAACAAAATATGCAGTAAAGTTTGTGTCTTTATTGGAATTATCTTGCCTTTTTCGAAGTTCGAACTCGATTGGGCACATCATTTAACATTGGTCTTAAGTCTAACTTGTTGTAACTAATTTGGCTTTTGAGGCAGCAGTTTAGTGTGAGCAAGAAAGCATGTAGTGATAGTTGGACTGAATGTATTTTCTGAAAAATCTATCTGGTTACCTAGATTTTCAATGATACGGTGTTATAATAAATTATGCGAAACGTGTCTTTGCAGTATATTAGTTCTGAGATCTCTAGTCATTCCCACACTGCAGTGGGTGTTGCCCGATGGATGTCCAGATATGGATTCTCAAGAAACGTGTCCGTATGGAAGTATATTCAGATTCTACCCCTTCTTACGACATGGATAGATCCAACTCTTCTATGTGAGTGCTGATATATATCTCAAAAAGATCCGTAAAGTCTATATAAGTAACTCATGTTCACGAGGACTCTCTCTCTCTCTCTCTCTCTCTCTCTCTCTCTCTCTCTCTCTCTCTCTCTCTCTCTCTCTCTCTCTCTCTCTCTCTCTCTCTCTCTCTCTCTCTCTCTCTCTCTCTCTCTCTCTCTCTCTCTCTGTGAGAGAGAGAGAGAGAAGAGAATTTCGTATTTGCTGTAAAGGGGGAATATTAATTTTTGATGTAACAATTTTGCAGGTATTCTGGTTCTACCCTATGTACATATCCAGCTTTATTCTTAGCACCATCTGGTATTTTTTCTCTCTCGTGTATTTACTTCGCCTTTTTTCCGGGCAGCGACTATATGCAAGACGAAAATTACTTAGTGCAAGACCAAATTAATTTTTTTTATTAAATTCAGTATAAAAAGACTATAATAACCTTAATAAAATACAAACAAAATAAAAATTATTTTATTAATTTCCTTTTGCAAGACCAGTTTAAAAAAGAAAAATTAATAAAAAAAGAAAGAAAAAAGAAATTGAATTGAGAATTGAAAACCGAGGAGGGAAGAAGGGAAGAAGAAAACAAGAAAATCAATTGCAGCACTCAACCGTCGCCCCATCGCTCCGTCGCCGTCGCCGTCGCCGTTGAAGTCCACCACCTCCCCGTCGCCGTTGAAGTCCGTTGTTGCCCCAACCCCGCCACAATAATCTCACGAAAAACAAGGAAATTACTTTTTGAATTAATTTTTTTTGAGAAATAAATGTGATAAACATGATTTTATTGTTAGAATAATGAATTCAAGTCATTTTAGAACATAATTAATGATTCTAGGGTTCGATTGTAGCACTATTGTTGAAGGAGTTGCGGTTTTACAAAAAACGACCTGTACTTGTCGATTTTTTGAAAATTTTTCGACATACTGGTGTCGATTTTTGAAAATTCGACACACCAGCGTCGAAAATTTCAATATAATTCGACACCAGAATGTCGAAATTTTCAATATAATTCGACACCAGAATGTCGAAAATTTCAATATAATTCGACAGTTAAGGAGTGTCGAATTATGTTGAAATTTTCGACACTACTGTGTCGATATTAAGCGGATATTTCGACCTGTACATGTCGAATTTTTTATACGTGAAATGAGGTGCGAAAAACGAGAAAAACGATCACAAAGTACAATATTTATTACCTCTTTGTGTTCTTCGACCTTAGAATCCTCCATATTTATGTCTTGTGTATCCATAATGTCCTTCTTTTCAAGTTTTAGTAAAGATTTGAGGGTTTTATGTGATAAGGATTTTGGAGAATATGGAAGATTTTTTGTGGAAAAAAATGTGTAAAATGAGGGTGAAGAAGAAGATGTTGGTAAAAATTTTTTGTATTTTTTTTTGGTCTTGCAATAGCAATTAGGTTAATTTAAATTAATAATATCTAAATTATTATTGGGGTTATATTTGTAATTTCCAGTCTTGATCTTAGTAAATTTATTTATATTTTGGTCTTGCATGAAGTAAGGTCTTGCCCTTAGTAATTTTCGTCTTGCAAATATTCGTTGCCTTTTTCCGTGCTGTTCTTATGTCGAAGCAATACCCGTGTTTACTTGCCGCACATTTGTGTCATGTCTTATCCCAATTGCCGTCACTATCCTTACTAATGCACACCCTTGAAATACAGAATTGTACTACTCTGATATATTGAAATCGCAACTTGTAATCGTGTCGCCCTTGTTCTATTGAAAGGCTTCTTAGTATATATTCCGACGCACTCTTCAAAATCTTCTCTAATACATTCAATTCCAGGTATAACGATATAGCAAAGTACGGATTTTTCGCAATCGAGAAGTATGGGTCAAAATCATCTGACCAGAAAGATAAGAATGCCACTGATAAGGCGGCTGACATTGAGGGGTATGTCTCGATTTATCCCACATATACTATTTTTAGAATTTTTTTTTTCAAAAAAAAAAAAAGAATTTTTTTTTTATAAATAATATTTCGCCTGCACCATTCTTTTTATCTACAGTGTAATGATTGGGATAGCTGAACAGGTGTACTCGGTTCTTCTATTGAGTTTCTTCTTCTTGGAGGTATAAATATAATACCACAATAATTGATATTTTACAAGCTCTACATTTATATTTAATTCAATGATAATAATAATTATTTGTATTCTTTGGCAGGTATATGTTACTGGATTCATTCCCTACATCGGAAAGGCAGTGAACTTTTTGCTCCTTTCATGGATGTATGCTTATTATTGTTTCGAGTGAGTGGCTATATAGACTATCTGGGCTCTATTTTCTTATTGTGGTGATGCGTAACGGGCGATAAAAAAAAATGTTTGCTGACAATTTTTTCTCGTGTTTCAAGGTACAAATGGAATTATTCGGGTCTGAGTTTGGACAAAAGGCTGGACTTCTTCGAATCCAACTGGCCTTTTTTTGCTGGTTTTGGTAAATGCCTTTACTTACTATTTTAATTCGATTTTTTAAAATTCAAAATTTGAGGCCGACCACTTTGTAGAAATTTGAATATTTTTTCGAGAATTTTGTTTTAATAATCGCGATGCAACTGTATTTTTCTTTTTGCAGGGAGCCCGTGTGTTTTATCGGCGTTCTTTTTCTCTCCTCTTGTTAGCTATGGGGTTATGGCTATATTATATCCATTAGTAAGTGTTCATAATTATTTCGATAAATTAATTTCGTCTGGAATGGTAATAATTAATTGATTATTAATTATGTATTTCTTGTTCCTAGTTTGTACTAACTGCCACAGGCTCAGAGGCAGACAAAGTCATTGCTTCTCAGAGAAACAAATGGAAAGATACAACAGAATTTGGAAGGATTCCGATATTCGTTTCTGCAAATTACGTATCGTAAGTCTATATCTCGATCTCGATCTTGCTTTTTTTTTTTCTTCGTAAAACTATATTATTTGTCTCTAAAAGCTAATTTTATGTTTTTATACATTTGTCTTGATACTTAGGATGAAATTGTTGTCTTTATTTCCCATTGAGCCTCGTCAGAAAGTAAATGACGAGAAAGCCCTTTGACCGTCGTCCGAAAAGTTGGTGAGCTGTCGAAAAATTTGAACCCGTAAATTAATCAAGATCAAGAAAGCTTAATCAATCAGCTTTTGGAGATTTAATCTTTATGCATCATCTGTATATAGTAATATCAGCGCTTTTTTTTTTTTCGTATTCGTATTTATCGTGTATATAACTTTGGCGGGCAAGAAATCGAGCAAACGTTTGATGAGAGAAAAGCACCTTGGATCAAAATGTACATAAAAAATTGTTTTTTTTTTCTCATCTCTCGTTCATGAAGTTTGTAAATTGGGTGTGAAATATGCAAATATTAATAGATGATGAGTTTCACATTGAGTAGTGTACTTTTTGCGAGTCGACTCGGGTTGTAAATGACTCGAGCTCGAGTTCAAGTCTGCGTTTGATAGGATTAACTATTTAAGGATAAATAATTAGACAATTTTTTATGTTTGTATTTTGTAATGCTATGAGCCCTATGAAGTGTTGAATAAAAATAAGGCTGCGGCTATATGCAATACTAATTCCACTTATGCAAGACCAAATTAAAGAAAGATTCCAAAAGATTGCATTTTATTAAGATGAAATGACAAATATACCCATAAATTAAATGGCTTTTATTTGCTCATGCAAGACCAAATAACAAATAATAAAAAAATATGAAACAACTAAATTTCGACATTACGGTGTCGAATAAATATCCATAAATTCGACACCTTAATGTCGAAATTTAGTATATTTGGACTAATTTGCTAATAGTAAATTTCGACACTAAGGTGTCGATATTTTACTCCAAAATCGACATCTCAATGTCGATTTTTACCTATAAAATTCGACATGTACATGTCGACTATGTGTGCGCGGGATTTTTTTTTTAAAAAAAAATATGAAACAACTAAATTTCGACATTAAGGTGTCGAATATATGTCCATAAATTCGACACCTTAATGTCGAAATTTAGTATATTTGGACTACTTTGCTAACAGTTAAATTTCGACACTAAGGTGTCGATTTTTTACTAGAAAAATCGACATCTCAATGTCGATTTTTGCCTATAAAATTCGACATGTACATGTCGACTGTGTCTGCACGTGATTTTTTTTTTTTGAAAAACGATATTCTAGCTAAAAAAACACATAAATGCATATTTTCTTGGGTTTTTCCACCGTAGATTCTTCTATTTTGATGTCTTCTGACTCAATACTTACCATCTTTGTAAGATTTGTTGAGTTTTGATGATTTTGAATGTTTAGGTTTTGTGGGTTTGTAGATGAGGAAGGAGAAAAGGTTTTGATGGAGAAGATGAGAGTTGGTCTTGTGGTTTTGTAATAGGGTTTTTTTTTTTGTTTTTGAGTTTTTGGTAATGCACATTTTGAATTTTCTATTTTTTTTAACAAGTAAGGGTATTATAGTATTTATACATTAAAAAATTTAATTTGGTCTTGCACAAGTGGTTTAAGTCTTGCATATAGCCGCAGCCTAAAAATAATTAGTCTAATTTAGTTTTATATTGTTCGAGTGCATATGAAGTGCGTCGTAGGAGATAACACACTCTCCATCTCTCCTCAAAACAGCACAAGGTACAACACATTATTTATTTATTTTGCCCTTTTTTACAAATACAAAAGTCAAAATTGCACACATTTCATTGACCAATTAAATTTAAATTCCACTTCTTTACTGCAAAAAGTGCAGAACCCATCATCATTTTATTGCGAAAATCACGGATTATCTGAATTAAGTACTGAAATTTACAAATTATTTTCACATCCCCATACAGTTGTAATAATTATGGTTTAAAGTATAGTTTTGTCACATTTATTTGATTAGTGAAAATTGTATTATAAAATAGCTATACAAAAAAGGCAGTTGACCTCGAATTTAGCTTCCTTCAGTTTTTTAGGCCTGAAAATATATAAATTGTTTTTGGTACAAATCTTTGTCTGTACTTGAATCATGACATTTGTTAATTAAATCATAATTAATTTTATATATAATATTTACTAGTTAAATCATCAATAATCTAGCTAGTATTACAAAATCTATAATATCATGTACTAGAACTGAACCATTCAATACGAATTCAATCGAATTAGTGGTGAATATTATATATAGTAGAATCTCGATAAATTAATACTCGATAAAAAATAAATATATTTCTGCTAGCCCGACTGTATTAATTTATAGAGATTTAAGTGTATATGCTCACAAGAATTACCATGACGATGTCGGGATATTTGATTTATATATGGGTTATATATTAAATAATGTGAATCCACATGCAAAGATAGCAATTGAATAATTTCCTAGTAGATAGGTGTTACCCCCTTAATCGGTGATATCGGTAATGACTCGAGTGTGGCCGAGTCATGACCGATAAATGGTGCCAAGTGGAGATTGGCACAAGGCAGCCACACAACCGGCCAATGAGTGGTCGGGCGTTCGGCCAATGAGTGGTCGAGTGATCGGCAAGCATTCAGGGTGTTTGACCGAGAAAGCAAGGATTGGCTTGATTCAAGTGGGAACGGTGATCGATATTACTTGTGGCTGGCACGGGCGTTGCTCGGCAGCAAAGTCGGACAAAGCGTGGGCAATAATCGGCATGCAGCCGATAATGTGGGCAAACGAACGTTCGAGGGAAATCGACCACGACTTGACAAGTGTGGGCAAAATTGGCAAGGCAAGCAAGGCAGCCCGATGAGCGGGCGTGCCGATGACCGTGTGGGCAAAGAACTGGCAAGTAATCGGTAAAGGGAAGCAAAAGTGCGGGAAAGGCAAGGCAGATGGGCTGCCTAGCAACCGGCCGGGCTGTTTGGGCCGTTTGGCGCGCGTTCGCGGGCTCGTTCAAGTTGGGCTTCGGAAATCAGCCTTGTGGGCGGATTTGAGGAAGTTACGGAGCGGTTGAGGCCTGAAAATGCAAGAAAACTGCCCCTTATTACTTGTAATAGTTAGCCAAGTGTCATGTTTGTATGCTGCCATGTGTCCTTAGGTAGTTTTGTGTGAAAACTACCTTTTCCTTGTATTTATTTGGCTATGAGTGCACAAATCCGAGGTATCTAGCATATGAGAGTTCATATTGCAATTGTTGGGCAATTCTGAGTGAGGATTTTGTGTGTGCACCTTAGTCTCCTTTGTATTCGTTGTGGGAATTAATATAAAGGTTGGGCATTGCCCGTAAACGTGCTTGTGTGTTTGTTTTCCGCTGCATACTCTTGTATTCGTTTACGTGGCTGAAAAGACTTGTGTTTGTGCGTGTTTGTGCGAAGAAAATCGTGAGGAAGGCTGACTGATTTGGTGGGCAAATCAGGCCGTACGGGCGGAAAATTTCGGTGATAAATTAACCCCTGTAACAGTTGGTATCAGAGCCCGGTTCAAGGGTTCTGAACGTGTTGCTGTTCGGCATGGCTGAAGATTTTGGTTCTTCGACAAATCCAAATCCTACTCGTGTGATGATGCTAGAGATGGAATCAAGGCTGCAACGTCTTGAATCCTTGGTTGGGCCGCCCCTAGATCCAACGGATCCACCGATCTTACAAAGGCTCGCTGATGGGAAGCGAGAAATCGATCGTTTGTCAAGATCGTTGGACGATCTGCCCGAATTCGTGGAGGGCAGATTCACGTCCGTTGCTGAGGAGATGGGAATCCTCATTGATGCCGTTGAGACGAAGCTTGATGGGATGCTTACAGATCTGGCGGTGCTTAAGAGGGCTGTTCGTAATGAAGGATCCAAGGTTCGTGTGCCGGAACCGACTGCGTTTGATGGCGAGCGCAGCGCCAAAGAAGTCGAAAACTTCGTGTGGGATATGGAGAATTACTTCGAGGCAGCGAAGGTTCCGGATCGCGAGAAAGTTACCATTACAAGTATGTATCTTGTGGGCGATGCAAAGTTGTGGTGGCGTGCTCGTTTGTCAGACGATGCAAGTGCTAACCGAGTCAAGATCGAGACTTGGGAGGTGCTGAAACGGGAGTTGAAAGAGCAATTCCTACCTTGCAACGTGGGCTGGATTGCAAGGGAATCCCTTCGGCAATTGAAGCACAAGGGAACCGTGAGGGAGTATGTCAAGGACTTCAGTTCTCTGCTCCTTGACATACGTGATATGTCCGATGAAGATAAGCTGTTCAACTTCATGGCTGGATTGCAGCCATGGGCCCAAACCGAGTTGCGGAGACAAGGTGTGAAGGAAGATCCAAGTGCTATCTCGGCAGCGGACCGACTTGTCGATTACAAGGTGATGGGGGCCGATGATTCCGATAAGGAAGGCTCGAAGAGGGATAAGTCCAAGGGGAAGAAGTTCGGTGGCAAGGGTGGCCGAAATTGGAAGCAAAAAGAGAGCGGTGATGGCGAGGGATCCACGGTGCATGCCAAGACCGGTGGACAGCCCGTCGTCAACAAACAAAACCGTGGCTGTTTCCTATGTGATGGCAACCACCGGATGAGGGATTGTCCGAAGAGGAGCAAGTTGAATGCTTTGATGCGGGAGTCGGATAGTGAGGAGTCGGACGAGACGAGGAGTGCGAATCCGATTCAGTTGTTGAGTGCTTTGGTCGTGGACAAGGCACCCAACGGCACCAAGGGCTTGATGTATGCCACGGTGCTGATCAATGGCAAAGAAGTGAAGGCAATGGTTGACTCGGGAGCAACTCATAACTTCGTTGCCGAGAGAGAAGTCAAGAAGCTGGGCTTGACTCTCTCGAAACATGCAAGTCAAGTGAAGGCTGTAAATTCAGAAGCGGGGCCGGTGAGAGGCAGAACCGATGTCGATCTTGTGATCGGTTCTTGGAAAGGGCAGTGTGGGCTGACTGCCGTACCACTTGATGATTTCGACGTGATATTGGGGCAAGAGTTCCTACTTGCTGCCAAGGCTGCGGTGATACCGTTTCTCGGAGGATTGATGATTATGGACGAAGAGCGTCCATGCTTCGTCGAATGCTCGTACGTGACGAAAGCAAAGGCGGGAAAGAAACCGGTGGCAAGGTTGGTTGCGGTGCAATTGAAGGCAGAATCGAACGACGAGGAGTCATCGAGCTTAATTGCAGCCGTTGGAACCAAGACGGTGAATTCTCGGGCTGGTTTGCTTGTACGTGCGTTGCCAAGAAATGAGTCGAGGGCAGAAGGCAAATTGAGGTATTCATTTGGGTTGATGAATGGGCATTGTGGCCTAACTTTTGTTCTAAGTTGCTGCCGTGTGTGGCACAACTCGTGGGTTCGAAATGTGGTATCTTCTGAATTTCGTGTGCATGTTGTTGGGTTTTTCGTGGGCTGGTTTCTGTTGTGGATGAAATGGAAGCCGTGCTTGGGTGATTTTCGTGGGCTGAAGGTCTCCTTTCTCGATCGGTGTGGCAATCGAGATAAAATACTAGTTGTGCCAAAAACTAGTATTTTCACTTGTGGTTGGGTGCTGCCGTTTGAACGTAGTTGGCGTTCGTTTTTCCGAGGGCTAAAATAATTTGTGGGAAGTTCGTGGGATCAGACTTGGAATATTTTGGGTTTTGATGTGGTGCTAGTGCTCAAGCACAATCGAAGACGGTGGCAAGACAAGTGGAAAGCTGAAGCCGATGGTTACGGTTCGACGAGGGCGTCGAACACCGTTGGTGGGGGAGGTCTGTTACCCCCTTAATCGGTGATATCGGTAATGACTCGAGTGTGGCCGAGTCATGACCGATAAATGGTGCCAAGTGGAGATTGGCACAAGGCAGCCACACAACCGGCCAATGAGTGGTCGGGCGTTCGGCCAATGAGTGGTCGAGTGATCGGCAAGCATTCGGGGTGTTTGACCGAGAAAGCAAGGATTGGCTTGATTCAAGTGGGAACGGTGATCGATATTACTTGTGGCTGGCACGGGCGTTGCTCGGCAGCAAAGTCGGACAAAGCGTGGGCAATAATCGGCATGCAGCCGATAATGTGGGCAAACGAACGTTCGAGGGAAATCGACCACGACTTGACAAGTGTGGGCAAAATTGGCAAGGCAAGCAAGGCAGCCCGATGAGCGGGCGTGCCGATGACCGTGTGGGCAAAGAACTGGCAAGTAATCGGTAAAGGGAAGCAAAAGTGCGGGAAAGGCAAGGCAGATGGGCTGCCTAGCAACCGGCCGGGCTGTTTGGGCCGTTTGGCGCGCGTTCGCGGGCTCGTTCAAGTTGGGCTTCGGAAATCAGCCTTGTGGGCGGATTTGAGGAAGTTACGGAGCGGTTGAGGCCTGAAAATGCAAGAAAACTGCCCCTTATTACTTGTAATAGTTAGCCAAGTGTCATGTTTGTATGCTGCCATGTGTCCTTAGGTAGTTTTGTGTGAAAACTACCTTTTCCTTGTATTTATTTGGCTATGAGTGCACAAATCCGAGGTATCTAGCATATGAGAGTTCATATTGCAATTGTTGGGCAATTCTGAGTGAGGATTTTGTGTGTGCACCTTAGTCTCCTTTGTATTCGTTGTGGGAATTAATATAAAGGTTGGGCATTGCCCGTAAACGTGCTTGTGTGTTTGTTTTCCGCTGCATACTCTTGTATTCGTTTACGTGGCTGAAAAGACTTGTGTTTGTGCGTGTTTGTGCGAAGAAAATCGTGAGGAAGGCTGACTGATTTGGTGGGCAAATCAGGCCGTACGGGCGGAAAATTTCGGTGATAAATTAACCCCTGTAACAATAGGGCAAATGATGTTCAAACAAGAATGTCATTATAGAATTGATGTGAAGGCTTAAGAAGCTTTTAATTAGTTCCTAATGGCCCACTTAAATTAATTTAAGCAAGGCTTAATTGATCATTTATTATTGGATTATTTGTGTTAAATCACAAGTGTCAATAAATAAGAGACATAGGAGAAAGAAAACTGCACTATTTGAACTCCACCATTTCCCTCACCACGCCGCTCCACATACAGTTAAACCTCTATAAATTAATACAGTTGGGACTATCAAAATTTCATTAATTTAGCGAAATATTAACTTATCGATAAATTAATAATTATTAATTTATACATTAATTAATAACTTATTAATTTATGAAATTACTTTTATTATTATTTTCAATAAATACATTTATTTTAAAAAAAATTGTGTATATTATTCATTGTACCATTCCTTCAATGCACTATAGAGCCCGTTTAACGAACGGAAGCTCTTAAAGCAACAATGGTATACAACGATTTGTGTTGAGTTATGAGAAAACTATATCGAAAGTTCTAACCATGTTAAGAAAAGTAAGGGACGAGATTGATGGTAATGTAAACTTCAACGAGAAAGAAGCGAGAATTAAATTATATTTTGTTAAGCCTTCATAGATCTATAAAATATGTACTGTACCATGTAGTTTAAAAAATATTTTGATGCATTATTAATTTATATATTATATGGGGCTTCTTAAAATTTTCGAATGTGCATTATCTTATAAATTTAGCGAATTATTAATTTAGCACGTTGTCCCCGAGTTGGGACCGGGAAAATTTATTATTTAAGCGAGGTTATTAATTTATCGGGTATTAATTTATCGAGGTTCTACTGTATATATAGATTTTTACCATTAATTTACACATAATAACAAACACATGTATACGTACGTATGCCTAGTGAGTAGTTATCTAGATCCAAGAAACGAATTAAAAACCAAACTTTTTGCAGAAATATTACTTTTTTTCTTGGTAAAAGAAAATAGAAAAATTAATTATAATAATAAATTAAATACTACTAAAACAAACCAATCTCCTCCTATACAAACTCTCTCTTTCTCTCACTACTATGCCCCTTCGGGCCAAACTATCAAATTATTACATTTAAAATTCATAAAACAAACATCAAATATCTACTAGACAAGACTCCACCCAAAAAAATAATGACAATAATACATAATAATATAACAATAAATCACAACCATATTGTAAAATTAAAAATTAAAAATTAAAATATCCAAAATGAGAACTCATGAGAAATACCTCTCTCCCTCTTCTTTCTTGAAATCCATCATTCATCTGCATCAACACATACATACAGCTGCAATTTCAGATACATTTCAAAATACTTAGTAATTTAACTTATTGTAACGATAAATAATTAATTATAAATAGTATTACCTTGGAAATATATAACTATATATATAAATATTATTATTGAGAACTATTTTGGCCATCTTCATCTTCACTATCTGTAGTTGCTTGATGAGTCTGGTGCTGCTGCTGCTGCTGCTGATCAAGATTGTTATTATTGTTATCGGAGTTCATATTTAGTCCGCTTCTCGAATACGCGTTCATCGCCGCCAGCATTCCGAGATTCGACTCCGGCGATACGCCCAATCCCAGATGCTGAGACGGGTTCTGATTTTGCTGCTGCATCAATATCGACCCAAGCTGCAACGGGCTCGATCTCCCGCCTTGGAAATCGAGGTTTCCGGAGTAATTGAACCTCGGCATGAAATGCAGCGGCGCCTGCACAGTGCTGCCGCCACCGTGGGGGTTGGCGGCGAACGGCCACATCTGGGCTGCCTCGGGTGGACCGGAGGATGAGGGTGTGTTGCCACCGCCACTGCCGCCGCCGGCTGCGGTCACCGGGAGCATCCAGAACGTGCTGCCGGAAACGCCGGTGGTCGGCGCCGCCGGCGTAACAGCCCACATGGCGGCGGTGGGCGGCATCATATTGGCGTGCCTCATTAGGCTTCCCGGGGATTGGGCGGCGGCGGCCGCCGCCGCCCCTTCCGCTTTCTGCATAATTTGGGCGTTGTTATTGTGGGTTTTGAATTGCTTGTTTGAAGGTGAGGTGGTGCCATCGCCGCCGTGAGAGTTATTACTGGGGCCTTCATCTTTGAAGAGGTCTTCTCTGTATCTCTTCCGCAGGTAATTATCCGTCGTCTCCTGACCGCCGCCGCTTCCGCCGGCCAAATTTTCCGCCATTTGAGCAGCTTGCAGAAGGTGAGGCGACTGCTGTTGCTGCTGTTGGTGGGGGTGGTGGAACCCTAGCATATGTGAGAAATTCTCCTCGTTGTACGGATAAGGGTGGTGAGCTAAACCCAGCGCGCTGTGGAAAGAATGCGGCGCCGATTTCGACGGCGGTGCCGACAGAGTTGAGCCGCTGCTTCTGAGGGAGATGTTTAGGGTGGAGAAATTGGCCGGAATTGTGCCGGTTCCGGTGGCGGCTATGATGGCGGGCTCCGCCTGCTGCAATAGCCACTCAATTGTTTCGCCGTCGGACTTGTGCCCTAATTCCCTGGTCAGCTGGAAAACCCTAGCCGCGCAAGTCGCCGGCATGCGAATTCGCCGCCCCCGGCCGTCCACTTTGGTGTGTCGGTCCTTCGTCGATCTCTTCGGCGGCGGCGGTTGTGCTTGTTGCTGCTCTGCCGCGGCGGCCGAAGGTTGTTGTGTTGGTTGAACGACTAATTGCTTCTGCTGTTGCTGCGCTGGTCTCTTGGAGGCGGCGGCGGCGGCGGCCGCCGCCTGGTGGTCAATTAGGGTTTCTGCTCTTGTAGCAATTGCAAGGGACGCGTCCACAAGCTGCGGCGGCGACGGCTGCTGTTGCGCCACAATAGAAGAGGAGTTGGAACCAGCAGTAATTGATGCCGGTGAGGATGAACCACCGCCACCACCACCACCACCACCGCCGCCACCAGATGGAGAGTGGAGGGAGGCGATGACGAACGGCGGCGATCTGCCATGGAGGCGGTGGAGTAGATGCGGAGGTGCTAGATTATAGGATTGTGAAGCGGAGGAGGATGTCACGGCGCCGGCGGTGGTGGGAATGGTGGAGGTGGTGGTGTTTGATTGTTGTTTATTGGATTTTGAATCAGTGAGTTCCATGTGGGGAAGGGGGGGTGGGGTAAGGGGGGTGAAGAATTTTGTAGGTGGGTTCAGCTTGTGATATTTTCTTTTTTCCTTGTTTGATAATTGATTAACACCACCATATTCTCTCCTCTTCCTTTCTCTCTCCTCCCCTTCTTTCTTCTTCTTCTTTCTAGAGAGAGAAAGAGAGATAAAAAAATCTTGCAGGAAACTAAGAGTTTGTGATGCCACTGTTTTTGTGGGGTTTGGTTATTTTGATTGACTCTTGTCTCTCTTTCTTTCTCTCTCACACACACCACACACACACACACACATGTATATAGAGAGAGAAAATGGGGTTTTATTTTGTTTTGTTTTGTTTTTACCAAATTTGATATACTGTCTCATAATACTATAAATAAAATACAATTAATTAATACTATTTTTACTACTACATGCAAACATCTCCCACTACTCATTACACACTCACACAAATTTATTTATTTTTAATTTAAAAAAATAATAATTGTACACTCACACTCACAAGCACCTGGTAAAGAAGAAGAATAAACCAAACAATGACAAGTGTTGGAAATTTGACGATTTTACCCATCATGTATTTCTACTTTTAACACACACACACACACAGTCACACGCGTGCATTTCACCACAGTCAAATGATGGACTGTTAATTGGCTGTAATTAAGGGGTGATTAGTCCATTTAATTTAGTTAAGAGCCGTGTGTTATTTGTTCATTTGCTTAACATGAAAATTGCTGTAGTAATTGGGGGGTGGGGGTGGGGGTGGGGGTGGGGGGGCCAGGGTGGCAGATGGGCAGTGCAGGTAAGCATCAGATAAAAAGCATCTAATGCACTATAGGACAGCTCATCCCAACTCAACCCCACATCTTTATTTCTTTCGACTAATTTAATTACTAATTTATAGTATATATGTTTGGGAAAAATACCATTTTCATCCCTCGTGTTTGCACTGATTTCACATTTAGTCCCTCGTGTTCACAAAAATCACATTTGGTCCCTAATGTTTCTAAAATTCAACATTTTTAGTCATTTTCGTCAATTTTCTGTCATTACTAACGGAGTCAAGTGCATGCCCAACCCATCATTGCCTTAACTGACGAACTAACAGTAAATTGACGGATATAATACAAAATATTAAATTATTGAAACATGAGGGGTCAAATGTGTTTTTTTTTATGAACACAAAGGACCAAATATGAATTCTTTCTTTTCTCGAGTAGTTATTTCAGGAAACACCAATTAATTTTGGTTAGTGGATTTTTTATTAAAAAAAAGAACAAATTGCTCTTGTTTTTTTTTTGTTTTTTTGAGAAGAAAATTTTATTCAACTTGTTTTTCATCAGATGCAATATTATATATTGTAACAGGAAGATCATCAAGAAAATAATTTTCCATTTTCGACAAAACTGTTATTTCATGAGCCATTTAGTTTGCCTCTCTGAAAATGTGTTGTATCTGAAAATGCTCGAACCACTCCCTCTCTCGCTTAATATCCTCAATAATATTTCGTACATAACTTCGGAAATTGCAGGTTCATAGACTACACAGATAACCTCCATCGAGTCACCTTCGAGTACAATCCTTCTCCAATAATTTGTTCGAGCCATTTCGACCGCCATGAACGCCGCTTGAGTTTCTGCCGTTGTGGGATCCGGAGATTGTTTAATGCAGCGAGAGGTCCATCCCACACACTCACCTATGTTTGTCCTTGCGATAACTCTTATACCACATATTTGTACATTGTACATTGTACATTGTACATTCACACCATCAGAAAAATAATGAATAAATTACGAAATCCCCCTAAGTTTAAGCTAAATAACAAAAAGCACCCCATGAGGTTTGTTTCCGTCTTACACCAACCACCTTACAATGGACTTTTCACGGATTTTTTTTTTATTCTAGGGAATAAACTTTACACAATTTCATATTTGTTTATTTATTTCTCACCTATTTAACAGAATGTATAATAGACTGTACACATTTTCTATTAAAAAACTCGATCAACGGTTAATCAGAGGGGGACTTTGGTTATTCCGGATAGGTGGGGGGGGGCATTTTTTGTTATTTAGCCTAAGTTTTTGGGGGTTTCCATAATTTACCCAAAAATGAGAGCCAAATGTAGAGAAAGCTATGAAGGTGGAGCAATCATGTCACCTTTCTTTATAAAAATGAACCCTAACAAGTAATATTGGCTATAAATTATTAGCAATAATTAGTAATATGTCCACCTGGAACCTCCTTTTCTTTTTAAATGTTTTCCCCTTTTGATTTGTACAGATAATCATTTAATATTTATATTGGGATTAAATTAATTAATTATATTATGCAAAACCAACCCACATCCTCATCTTCAATTATATATACTAACTATATATAGATATTCTATTTTAATTAAATTGTAATATATTTATTTATGTAATCTTGTCACAAGAAAGAAGACTCTCTTCTTTCTCTCTGGCAATGATACAGGGGGGCCTATCTTTTAATTTTAATTCCAAAAAATGCTTTTTTATTGTTATGGTCATGGGAGAAAATGGATAGTACTACAAAATAATTTATTGGATATTTCAATTATTATTATTATTTTTAGGGTAAATCACGGTCGCTCATGAGGTAAGGTCAAATTATGAAAACCCCCTCATGTTTGGATAATAATCACAAACCACCTCCTCAACTATGAATCTTTTTACACGTAAATATTTACGGTGTAAAATTTAGTGGAATCTTCTAGATTGTAATTCTCAAGTGTGTACCCTTTTAATCCTATTAGAGCTTCACATTTTGATACAAGATGATCAGATGTGTTTTTTGGCTTGTATATATATATCAGATTGTTGTGCATCAGAAACTGCATTTTTGCACAAAATTAGTACAAAATAGAGAACATTCTAGGGAATCTAGAAGATTATGTTGAATTTGACACCATAAGGGTGTCCGTGTAAGAAGATTCATAGTTTATGGATAGTTGTAATGACCCAAATATGAGGGGTTCTTTCGTAATTTGACCTTATCTCATAGGGTGATTGTAATTTACTCTTATTTGTACTATTATTGTTATTATATTTTTTAGGGTCAAGTTTTGTTATACATGAAAAATTATGATATAGGTAGGGGTGGCAAACGAGTCGAGCTGACTCGTGAGCTCAACGAGCCGAGCTCGGGCCAATTTTAGTTGTTCATGAGCTCACGAGCTGGCGAGCCCTATTTTGTATTATTATTTTTATATATTACTTTTTATTTAAATAACGTATAATAATATAAAATATTATAAAAATAAAATAAAATATAAATATTAAAAGATATATATAATTACAATTTATTGTTTATTTTGCATTTTTTTAAAATAAGTTTTAATAGTAATTAAAACAATATTAAAAAAAAAAAAAAACAAATGAGCTCGACTCGTTCACACCCCTAGATATGGATATGATTTAAGCTCCCGACGTTACTCTAATAGTGGAGGCAAGATACTAACTCTCTGCGATGAGGATTGATAATTAAAATGTTTATGTACTCGTAAAAAACGAGAAAATGATAATACTTTATGATTTTATTAATATTTTATAGAGCAAATTACGGGCGCCTCTTGAGGTAAAGTTTAATTATGAAATAATTTCTATTGCTTGGGTAATTACAACCTTACAATTATGTATGTTTGACGAAAAAACTCCTCTTTCACTAGGTAAATAATCGAATTACATAAAATTTATGGAAAAATATTTAAAATGACGGGTCGATGTAATTACCCAAATAATAGAGTTTTTTTCATAATTTGACCATACTTCAGGGGTTGACCGTAATTTGCCCCTTATGTTATTACTTATTATAAACCCATTAAATAAATAACAAATGGAACAAAATAAATTAAAATAATAAAAAATGAGTCGGTAGAAAGAAACAAAACGAAAGAAGGCTCGTGATATTAGGATTTGAGCTTGCCCATGTCAGACTTCTTTTTTTTAAAGGGATTTTTTTTATTAATTAAATATATGAACAATATCCACTCCTACATTAAAATTGAAACACTTTTTAATTGATTTTAATTAAAAAAAAAAAGGATTTTGTTGAAAGTGTATTCTCGAATTCGATTTGTTCTCGCGGCAGTGTGAATTTAGGGTCGAAAATCAAACTAAACTAATCGATTTGTGATTGTTCGTAAGAAAACCATTTGAGCTCGATTTGTTAATATGACGAACTAAACTTGAAGATCATTTTCTATGACAATAACCTAATAAACTCGGCTCGAGCTCGTTTAAAAATTAACGATAAAATATATGTAAAAATAAAATTAGAAAAATCAAACTACTCAACTTTTGAAATTATTGTGTAAATTATTTTGGAAAAGTTAAAACAAATACGATTTTGTTTTCAAGGAAAAATAAAAATGAAATTGAAACAAGACCAAACATTGTCATACGAGACTGATATGCCTAGTTGGGGCGGTCCAATGGGCCTATAATTTCTTAACTTATTGGGCCACGAGCCCAATATCGATGATTAGTACAATCGATGTTTAATCATTTTCTAATAAGGTTTGGGTCCGATAATTATAATCAATTAATCTCAGCCCAACAAGCTCAGTATAAATAAATGTTATAACTGATTTGTTAAGGTACATTCAATATTGCAACAATACAACTGCTCGTATTATTTCTATGACTTTTGTAATCCACACGCCTGACTTGAGCGTTAGAGGGGTTTCAGCCGAATCAACTCCGACTTAATTTACGTATTTTCTGATCGCATGTATCTCAACGTCATCTAGCTCGTGAACCAGTGATTCGCTTTGCGCTTCCAGCTCATCCTACTTTAACTACATCAGGTGTTATAATTCTAGCATCATCAGAGACGAAGACCGTTGGGCGAAATAGACAAATAATAAAAAATAAATTAATTTCCAGATTGTAACATGACAATGATCCAAATTAAATCACTGGAAATTAGGTGTGGAAATAACTAAATTTGCTCTCATTGCCATATTAGTGGTGTGCTGCAGCAAAAAGGACACTTTATTTACTGTTCATACATCATATCTACTTTTGTTTAATTTTGTTTTCCACCAAAAAATATTAAATAAAAAAAAACAAAAAAAACAAAAAAAAAAAAAAGTGAAAGCTTGAAAGGGACCCTTCTATCGCCACCTTCTTCAATTAATTCATTACAACTAACAAGAAAATTCAAATAAGTACTAAATTTGGGGTGGTTTGGAATTCAAAATATAATTTAATAAACGTTATAATTAAATTACAGTTAAATCTTTATAAATTAAAATTCTAATAATTTTGCGCGAAACATTAAATTATAGAACTAATAATTTAGTAGAATTTTACTGAGTCGGAACCATAAGAAATTCTATCAATACATTATCAAACGAGGCTTTTAAATTATATTTGAGCAAAAAAAAAAAAGTAGTAATATTTTTTTTTGATAAGTAAAAATAATTATTAATACTTATAAAAATAATAATTAATGATAATAAATTGTGTACAGTACAGTCAGATAAATTTATTTATTAATTAAAGTCCTCCCCACATGGACTTCTTTTTTAAGTTAAAACACAGTTATTTCATTGGTCAGAATTATTTTGTGTACTGAAAAAATGTGTCAAACTTGTAATTAAATCCTAAACTCAATGCTGATTCTCATTTTTTTCTGTTCCCATTAAACTTTCCCTCTTTTGGAATTTGGCCCCTACAAATCCCAATATTTACCATTTTTGCCTATAAAAAGTGCAGCATATGGTAAAAAGTGAAAAAGACACTAATAAATACTGCCCCAAGTGAAAAGAAACAGTGGCTTACTGAATTACTTATGACATCCGCATGAATGGGGGACAGTAAAAAGTGAAAAAAAGTTATTTACACCCTTATGACATTGATGTGAAATTACCACAATGGTGTTCGAAAAATAACCTTGGGTTTGATTTAGAGAAAATTGTTCGTGTTCGACAAACTTACACGACAAAAGCGTGTGTAAGGTAAATTAACGAGACTGTGCCAACTACGCGTAAAGTATTTGAATTTACTCGACTATTACCCTTTTAACTTTTTTATCCTATTCGAAAAGATTTTTACCTTGTATTTATAGTTGAAGATTGGCGATACATGTCGTAAAATCCCGATAGGAAACATTGGTTATTTAGTTGAATTTTGTTTGGGCTTGAATCCGCCGACAATGTATATAATACAGATTTGTTTAAATGCCGATATAAATATTTTTGTGCTTTATTCGTTAATGAATAGTGATGATAATTGATATATTGAGGGCTCGTTTGGGAACTGCTATAAGGAAAATAGTAGGGGCTAGTAAGGCGTTCGGTTGATAAGATTCATACTTTTATAAACTCGTTATAAATAAAAGTCAGCTGTTAAATGCTACTAGTTCATTAAATTAGTAGTACCCCTCCTTCCGAGATTAATTTAATAGTAGATGACTAAACAAGTAAAAGACTATTTTATCCTTTAAAGTTTAAACTGTATGTTAATTCTAGTAAATAATTTTTTTTATAGACAAATCACATATTATACGAAAATTTAACAGATTTAATACAAGACCTAATCCAGGAACACGCTACTAACTAAATTATTAGTTATTTAGTAAAGAAATAATTCGACTGTATCCAATGCAAACTAATCCGATATAGGTAACCAAACGAGCTATGATCAGTGGATTTGAAGTTATGTAAAATAGGGTAAATTTGGAAAAGAGAAAAGAGTATTTTTATAAAATTACATGGGCACCCCTAGGTTTTAGTGTTTTTGTACTTTGTACTGGTTTAGGGAAAGTTTGATGGGTCATTATCAGCATGAATGGGGGTCTGCTTTACAGGACCAGCATCAATTTATATTGTACATTTTGTCACGGTGGCTAAATACAGATAATTTTGATTTTTTCTTAGGTGTTGTACCTTTTTATTTGTGTACTGATTTCGTAATTGAAAGATCCGAGTCGAGAGACCGAGTCGAAAAGTGGTTCTATATAAAATAGGGCAAATTACGGTCACCTCTCGAGGTATGGTAAAATTACGAAAAAAATCCATCTTGTTTGGGTAATTACAGCCACCTTTTCTTTTAAATATTTTTACATAAAATTTATGTAATTTGGTTATTTACCGAACCAAACCGTATATTCAGTTCGGTAAACGGTATGAATTTCGGTTCGGTTTTACTGATTTAACATCCTTAAATTTACCTCTGAAAGGGTATTGTCGTAAAATAATACATAGTTGAGGGGGGTTTTTCGTAATTTGAAAGACCTCCTTATAAAAAATAAAAATCCATTGGGTGAGTTAGGTGGCAAAAAAAAAAAGTATTTTAGGGGATAAAATGGACATACAAATCTTCGAGATGGTGTTATGCATAATAAGGTAATTAATTAAAAAATATATTATGATGTTCATAATAATATGGTAAATTACAAAAATGAAAGAAAAAAATAGTAATGTATAAAAAGTACAATCTTTTGGGGCTAAAAATTCACCTATTTATATTTTGGTTATAAAATATGGTAAATTACAGTCACCCCTGAGATAAGGTCAAATTACCGAAAACTCCCTCTTATTTAGGTAATTACAACCACCAATCAACTATAAATCTCTTTTACATGTCCACCCCCGTGGTGTTAAATTTGGTGAAATTTTTGAGATTATGTGGAATATTCACCAGTTTGTACACGTTTTACGTCGTTTGAGGTCCACATTTTAAAACAAGATGATCGTAACATGTGTCTCTTGGCTTGTAAATATGAGATTGTGATGCATCGGAAACTGCATTTTTGCCCAAAACGAGTACACACTAGAGAACATTTCCACGGAATTCGGAAGATTAAGTTGAATTAGTTACCATAAGGGTGGGACGTGTAAGAAAAGTCATAGTTGATGGGTGGTTGTAATTATTAAAATATGAAGGGTTTTTTCATAATTTAACATATAAAATAATAACCTATATATGATTAGTAACAAAAAGGTCCAATAAAATATCGATATTGGGCTTAATAAAAAATTACGGGCTTTAAAAAATATCCATCCAGCCCAGCAATTATATATTGGGCTTAAGGAAAATTGAACCGGTAATTCAGTAACGAACCGGTCCGGTTCAGTATCCAAACCCGAACCGGTAATGGAGAAAACACCAGATCAAACAATCCCATAGCCATTACTACTACTCCATTGTACAAAAGTCCCTGAGCCCTAAAATGTGTCGCAGCTCTATTCTCTCTCATAAAGTTACCTTTTTGAATTTAGATAAACCCTAACCCTAATTTTATCTCGCGAGGAGTTTGAAATTTGGGAATTCGGAATGGAGACGCACTTCAATCATAACCTGTTCGACAGACGCCCCATAACCAAGTCCAGAGCCCCTGCTGTTAAATGGGTTAAGGAATGGTGAGCAACAAAATCCCCAACTCTTTTTTTTTTTTTTTGGTACAATTTATTTTGTGCCGTTCGAAAAGCAAATTCATATGAATTTCTGCAGAGTATATGTGATATGTGGGTTTCGATTTTTTTTATTTTTTGGTTTTAAATTCTGATGGTGCGGGTTTTGTCTTATGTGTGTCTACTAATTGAACGATTTGGTACTTGGTAGATTAAAGCTGAAGTCTTGGATTATTTATTCTTTTCTTGTAGTGATGAATTGTTGTAAATTATCTATTGTTGATACAGCTGATTGATTTTTTTTTTTTTTTTTACATAAATTAATTTTATATTGGGAAATCGGTAGAGTGGTCATCTATAGAAACGAGGACATCGAAATACAGTTTGATATGGTGATATACTTTTGAGGAGACCTGTTCATATGTTGGATTTTACAACGTTTGTAGTTTATACGTTTTAGGAGTTTTTTCATCGACAAGGTTTTTTCTTGTCATGTCGTTCGGCTTTTCCGAAATGTATCATAGAATAATCCCAATTCTTATACTTTAACATCTAGCTGATTTTCTTTGCTTTCGTGTAGTTTATCGGCTTCACTAAGAGAAAAAATGGAATGTGAATTATGTCATCTGATTCTAAAACCAATTTACGTGTTCCTTTATCACTTCTTTTGTGTTAAATTGCTGAAAGTGAAAAGAAATCGAGCACATTTGGGCAAATCTGGTTTGGTCCTCTGTGCAGGGCCAGAAACCACCACCAACATGGAACTTTATGCGATATCTTCAAACTTGTAGCAGAATTGTCTTATTAGTGATTTCTTATGGTTTACGTTTGATTTTGCTTTCAAATTTTTTCCCTCTGGAAGTTTAAAGATACGGAAAAGAGAAGAAAAACGAATTGGGTGCTAAATTCATGCTTCAAATTAACAAGTCTGAGAAATATGCTTCAATTTAACTGTTACTGTTTTCATTTTATATTAAATTACGGTTAGTGGTACTTCTCTAAAATGTGACTATCTGTATTTTATTTATAACTCCAGAAAGATTCTTATCCGGACATTTATCATTTCCTGGGATCTTTATGAATGACTAATATTAGATTTAAGAGTATACCATGTATATAGATTTAGGTACGTATTATATCGTTTTTTAATCACAGCATGCAAATGAATTGTTTCGATGACTTTGTTGTTGAGGAAGCATGTACTGATATAGTGACACTCTCCTTAATTTCATGGGTTTTGTTTCGATGAGTAGGGTTGTTCATTTTTGTAGCGTCTCTTTAATTTCTCGAGAATATTTTCATCCATGTAATATAACTGCTCAAAGATATTGAAATCTTATCATACTCGTTGATTTTTGTTTGTTTTTAATTTTTTCTCTAACCTAGTTATTTCTCATAGGGTACCACAGGAAGTCATTGCAACTGGTGCAAAGTGCTTTGTTTTGAAATGGGTAAACGGTTAGTATCATACTTCCATATCTGTAATGTTGTGTGTTTGATGCCGATTTTTCACATATTTTTTCTTTGATTGGTCACTCTAATATATGAAAACAATACTTAACTTTGAGGTAGAGAGATTAAATCTTGATCTATATGTTTTTTTTAATGCTTTTTAGAGGCCACATTAAAAGCCGTGAAAGAGAAAACGAAAGAACCACAAATGGTGGAACCTGAGCCCGAGCCAACAACAGAAGTACTCTTCCTTTGTAGTTACGAAGGTTGTGGAAAGACATTCATTGATGCAGGTGCTTTGAGGAAGCATTCCCACATTCATGGAGAGAGGCAATATATTTGCCATTACGAGAATTGTGGAAAGGTAATAAATACCTCTAAATTCGGCCTTAATCGAATTGCTTTACTTCAACTCATTACTTCTTAAGATTACAGAACACGATTTTGTTAGATGCTTCAAAAAACGATTCTTGGCCTGTAATTCTAACTGGAAATAAGGGATGCCATTGAGCAATTTTTGGATCATACATTATTTTTGTTACTTTTAAATTGGTAATAAATGAATTTTGGGTTGTTTTCGCAGAAATTTTTGGATAGTTCGAAACTAAAGAGGCATTTTTTAATTCATACCGGAGAGCGAGACTTTGTGTGTCCACATGAAGGCTGTGGTAAGGTGAGTAAGCTACTTTCACAAAAGCTCATTTTTCGACAATTTGTTTTGGGATTTGTAATAATCACTGGAATTAGTCGGTTTTTGCAAAAGCTTTGAAAACGTAGAAATTGGTTCTGAAATTTCAATTTGTTTTGTGCAGGCGTTTTCTCTAGATTTCAATTTAAGGTCGCACATGAAAACTCATTCTCAAGAGAATTATCACGTCTGCCCGTATTCCGAATGTGGAAAACGATACGCCCATGAGTACAAGCTCAAGAATCACATTTCATCTCATCACGAAAAGGTTCGTACTTGGAAATATTCATTTCAAAAAAGCATTTCTTTGATTTCCATAACTTTCGTCATTTATATAATATCATAATCATAATATTCATTTTGGCTCATGCAGAGTATGATGGACGCTGCTGCACCCAAGTATACCCCACCTGCTCCAGAAAAACCCGTAAAAACTCCAAAATCTTCCACCGGGCCTTCGGGCCCCGCATCATCTGAAAGGCCATATGGATGTCCATACGAAGGCTGTGAGAAAGCATACATCCATGAATACAAGCTCAACCTCCATCTAAGGCGAGAGCACCCTGGCCATTTTCCCGACGAAAATGCCAAAAACACCCAAATTAATAATAACGTTAATATTAGCAACAACAATAATAATAATAATAATGAAAACGAGATGATGGATGAAGGGAGCGATTTGGATGCGTACGCTGGAAAACGAAGAGCTCAGAAGCAGAGCAGACCGAAGCCTAATTTAAAGATGCCACCTTCGAAAGTGGTCCCGCATCGAAAAAACAACTCCAGCGCTCCGACAGCGAATTTGAGTGTGGTGAAAAAGCCTTGGCCCGTGAAAGAGGAAGTTTATGAAGACGAAGATAGTGAAGAAACGGAAGAGGAAAGGGATAACAATATTAATAATAATAATAATACGGGAGATGGTTGGAGGTATGGTGAGAATAATAACGAGGACGATGATGAAGAGACTGAATATGAAGATTAGTTTGAGGTTCTATATTTTTGTGTCTGCATTTGTGCAGGAACTTCCTTTTGTAGGTGAAGAGATATACTTTTTTTTAAATATTTTTTTTTTATGATGCACATGTGTACGATAAAGATGAATAAGTGTTGGAAATATTAACTGCTAGGCATTATGAATGTTGATTTGTCTAGATTGTGCTGATTTTTTCTCTGGTAAGAAGAGTACAACCGGGCATCTGTTGATTGCATTGTTTAGTGCATGGTCAGCGTTTTGTTTTTACGACAATTGTTGCGAAGAAGTTGTGCATTTTGCATTTGAGAAACTAATTCAAGCCATGAAATTGTTGCTCAAGTAGTCGAACTTGTTAGTTTAGTGTAGATACACAAAATTTTGGTAGGAAAAAGAAGAAGGGCAAATTGCATGTCACCCCCTATAAAAATTTAATTTTTGCACTTTACCCCCAAAAATTTTAAAAAGTGAATGTCCTCCTTCAAAATGTTATACTTGTTGCAGGTTGCCCCTATAACAAAATTCCGATGAATTATTAGCTGGAATTGAGTGTTTTTTTCTTGCACGCAACAAAATTCTGATGAATTATTAGCTGGAATTAAATGTTGTTATACTTGTTGCAGGTTGCCCGATGAATTATTAGCTGGAATTGAGTGTTTTTTCTTGCACGCAACAAAATTCTGATGAATTATTAGCTGGAATTGAATGTTTTTTCTTGCACGTTGCCCCTTAAAAATATTATTTTTCTCCCCCTTTAAAATGTTATTTTTGTTACACACCTACCGAAAATTAACTTTTGAGGCAAAGTGCAACTAAAACAATATTTGAAGGTCATCTCTTTTCTGAATTTTGAGGGGGGAAAGTGCCAACTACAGAAATTTATAGGGGTGAGTGCATTTTATCCAAAAATAAAAAATGACGGACTTCTGTCCAGTAGGGTCTAATTTACAAGAATACACATACATATATCACAAAAGTGCCTCGTTTGTTCTTAAAAGGTTTGTTCTTATAAGAATGCAACAATATCATAACGGATCAAGATCAAAACAATCACATCAATCCACCTTTGTGGGTGTTAGAGACTTGGCGGACAGAAAATTCAACTCAAATTAATCCATCTATAAGCTCTTTCTTCCTGCGCCTACGTCCATTTCGAAATGCTCTTCTAATACACCATCTTCATTCATCAATCTTCTTCATGCATTTGTAATCACAAATTATACAAATCATACATTCTTTTCTTGATAACTTCACAACAAGACATGAGCAACAAACCACCTTCACTGCCTTTCCTTCAGAATGGATTTTCAGATAAAAACAAACGCAAGTACTAACACACTTGAAATATTGAAAAAATATGGCCTTTAATCGAAACAGAAATGAATTGGGTAGCAATATATGCAAGATCAAAAAAATAATGATGTCTAAACCATCAGAAAAAAGTGGATTATTACATCAATTCGACACCCTAACGAGCGTCACTCAGACGACCGTCGTGAGAAGATAAATCCATGATCATCATTTGGCTTATCAAAAGAAATCATCCAACAACAGTATATTAATTGCAATAATGTTTCCTCTTCAGATTTTCAGGTAGATACGGGTAAAAACCAATCCGATTCAACCGAGGAGGAATATACTATAGGGTGCTGTATTCATCTCGAAGGCATTGTAATTAAGCGCCAAAGAGGTAAACTTCAGCCCCATTAATCCATTGCATACAGAGTTATTCGACTTTCGACGAAACTAAAACAGATTCTTATTTAACAACTGTCAAATCAGAACTTTTAAGAACTGCTACAATTTGAAATGTCTGAACATAAAAGTTTGAAGCTTTACAAATAAAATGCACATACTGAAAACATATATATATATGACATCTCATTCAGGAAGAACACTTTTTTTTAAAATCAATTAGCTATAAAACTTTCTCTACCCTGAAAATTAGGAAAATATGGACAGGGTCAAAATGGGCAAAATCGAATTAAAAAAAAAAAAAAAAAAAAAAAAAACAGAAAATTGCAGAAAGATTTAAACTTGATAATCAGAATATATGATTCGCCAGAACCATTGAAAATAACCAGTGGCGTGGATTCGAATTTAGTTAATTTTGAGAAATCCATCGACGGATTTGAATGAAGGAAGACCAAACCAAAACAAATAATGACTTAAATTAAATTAAAAAAAATGTTGGGCTGCTTGCTGCACCGGGATGTAGAGCGGCGGCGACCGCGACGGCGGTTGTTCAGGAGTATAGATTAGAGTGGTGGTGGAATTAGAGATGGGCGGAGTGTTTTTATATTGTGGGGGCACCCATAAACCCTAGCCTGCACAGTTTAAAGTTAAACCCTAGCTGAACTTGAGGCCGCACTTTGAAAGTTTTAGTTTACCTAATTACGGATTTACCCCTTGCCTTTTGAGAGCACAATTTTTTGGGCTTCCAAATTTGAGTCCCAAAATAAATCCCAATCTAAAAAAAGTAAAAAACACATTTCGAATTCGGAAGGCCTCGAAATAGAGGTTCACTCAAATTCTCGTTCGATTAATGCTTTTACATTCGAGCACAAAATATTAGGAAAGCTTATGTCGTAAAAGATCTTAACTTTAAATTTAAGAGTCTTTTTTCATTAAACTTCTACGATATGTACATATATAATTACAAACACTCCTTGAGGTATGATTAAATTACGAAAACCCCCTCCTGTTTGGGTAATTACAATCACCCCTTAACTATAAATCTTCTTACATGTCCACCCATGCGGTTCCAAATTTAGTGAAATCTTCGAGATTATATGGAATATTATCACTTTTGTACTCATTTTATCCCATTCGAACTTCACATTTTGAAGCAAGATGATCATAATATGTGTTTGTGGCTTATAAAAATTAGATTGTGGTGCATCAGAAACTGTATTTTTGCACAGAACGAGTACAAACTAGATTACATTCCACCAAATCTAGATGATTATGTTGAATTTGATACCATAAGGGTGAATTTGCAAGAAAAAATCATAGTTGAGGGGTAGATGTAATTATCCAAACAAGAGGGAGTTTTCGTAAAATAACCATACCTCAGGGGGTGGTTGTAATTTACCCTAAAGATATGAAATAAAAATTATAAAATAGAAATAGTACATAGATGTTTGTAATTTTGTGTTTTCACTTTTTGAGTTTTGACTTATTTTATATATTTTTTGACGCTAAGAAAGTAAGAAATGCAATTAAATTTTTGTAATAAATTAGTATTCGGTTCGCTAATATTATCCAACCAACCGACTTTTGAGTAAACTGAAAACTACGGATCGACCTATTTATATATTGGTTGGTTAAAATTACCGGTTCGACAAAAAAACTACGGCAAATAAAAGTGGGTTGGCCGGCCGATAAAACCGAACCATACCCAACTCTAAGTTACTAATATTGAAATTGTAATTTAATAATTTATAAAATAATATTGCAATTAAAAAACAATGTCATATTTATATTCAATGTTACAACAATCCCCTAAAACCTTTAAATTTGCAAAAGAGTGAAGAAAAAAAATGCAGAAAATTCATATTTAGGGGTTAAAGTGTAAGTTTTGAATATATCTCTTTATTTGAATAGAAATCATAAAATCTAGGGACTAAGTTGAAACATTTGAAAACTTAAGTGACCATAATCAGATTTAATCTTGCAAATTGCAATAATCGACACTCCACGAACACCGCCAGAAGCCGTTCCGTTTCCACTAACTCCGATTTATTTATGAATGCGATTCCATACTCTCTGCTAAAATCAAATCTGAGTTGCATTGGGAATCTGGAATTTTTTGTATTTTGACATTTCAATTAAGTATTTATCAACGTTCATAGTTAGGGGTGAAAGTCGGATGAAGCGTATTGGAAGTAGCCTTTCCGGAAAATTTTCAATTTTTTTCGGAAGTTCAAAATCAATTCCAATTTCAATCCTAAAATTTTTTGAATCTAAAAATTCAATCCAATTCCAGTACTCTTGGAAATTTCGGAATTTCGAAAAAGTTTCGGAAATCACACAAGTTCTATAATATTCCGAAAATTTAATTCATTTTGCACTAAGTAAAATAAGTAATATATAATATATATTATGTATAGATGTATTTTTGGGGAAAAAAATGTAAATTTTGGAATTAATTTCGGAAACGGGATTGGAAATTCCAATTTTTTTTATATATAATTCAAATTCCAATCCAAAAACATCGGAAATCGGAATAAAAAAGTTGCCAAAATCGGAACTTTCGGATCGAAACTGGCGGAAATTGGAATTTCCGTTCCGACTTTCATCCCTATTCATAGTTTAAAGAAAGCTTAAGCCATTTTTGCGATAACTTGGTATTTTTGTATTATCTCGTGATAGTATATCGCCCTAATTTCTCCGATTCTGATTGATTTCAACAAAATTCGAAGTCACGCCTTAATATGCATAATTGGAAAAGCACAATCACGAAACCGGAAAATTTCAAAACAAAGGGTATTATTGTCAAATTATTGAGTTTCTATTGTTCTTTGGAGCTTTTAACCTTTGCTAGTTTACTTGTAAGACAGCTGTTAAGAAAACAAGTAGAGAAAGGTGAGGCGCCGTGTTCCGAAATAACGAAACCAAGATCTCGAAACCTGTCCTTAACGAATGTCTTGACTCCAGTTACGGCACATTTGGTTTACAAGATTCCGACTTGACCTTTGTCCGATGTGGGCCGGGTTGGTTGTGGTGGTGGTGGTGGTGGCGGTCGGGGGAGGATTGGTAGTGTTGCGGAATTTCCACCGCGACTCTCTGGTGGTAGTTGCGGTGGCAGCCGCAGGCGGCACAGAGCATGGCCTCGCGGGACCCGGTGGTGGTGCCGCTAGGGGCCTCGAAGAGGCCGCATCCGTCCAGGAGGAATCCGTTGTCGGAGGCTGCATGGTTGTGCATACACTTTTTGTACATGACTAGCATTTCCACTTTCAATGCATTGTCATTGGCCATTTTTTTTCAAGAATTTTTTTTTATTTTTATTTTTGTGACTGCAGAATGTGTTTTATTAGACTGTGAGTGAAATGAAATGAAATGGAGTGGTGAGTTTATATAGACAGTGAAATGAGGGTTGGGGTGTAATCTTATTCCTGTAATTTTTGGATTATGTAAATTAGATTTCAATTCTTGATATCTGTATTCCAGATTTAGTGATTTACTTACTCAAATACTGAAATGGG